AGAAACTTGAACTGACTTATGTTTATAATAGTGACAATTTGTTACCATTGATTAACTTCTCTTGAATTGATCGTTGTGATTCACTTTTACTACCTTACTATCTCATTTCATCTTAACCACTGACTAGTATTCTATTTTGTTTGTTTCAATGAATGAAAGTTTTGAATCAGCTCTCGAAAGGAGCTAAGTGGCCTGAGTTCACGAGGTGTTCTGTTATATCGAACTGAAGATGTATTTCCCTTCTCCCTTTTGCAAACCAGGCTAAGTGGTGTTCGGGGATACGTTTTACAAGCGGACACATGGTACGACCGATGTACTCAGCTCCACAGGAGCAATTAAACTGGTATACAAACATTGATGTGACCCAATGCATCAGCTTGTTTTTTACATATTGACCAAAAAGTTTCTTTTAGGAGAAAATTATCCGAAGGTTGGCGGCGAAGTATGTTCTGTTTATGGATTTTGACAGTCGTTTCCTCAGGATCTCTACAGCAATATAGTTTTTGGATTCAAGATTCAACGAAAGAATCTTTTTCGGCGCCAAATGTATTCGTTCACTTGGGTTCTCTGCCTTTATGTTCTTATCTATGAATCTGAGGGGAACCTGTTGTCTGCGATAGTTCATCAAAATATTTGCAGTTCTCCGTCAACCGTATCCTCAGTAGGTAGTTTCCTTTTCCATAAGGAAAGTGAATGAATAAGATTTCTTTTCCTGCATAGGCAGACTGAACTTTGAAAATTAACAAATTGTCCATTCCATGTAAGCTTTCTGAAGTGAATTATCGTTTTTTCTTTGAAGTTGAACATCAAGAAAATGGAAGGTTGAGTTTGATTCTGATTTTAGGGTGAATTTGGCTGAAGGGTGGGAGTTGTTCAAGGTATGAATCAAGTTCATGAGATTCATATTTCCATCACAAACTATAAATGTATCATCCACGTATCTTTTGTAGACATGAAGTTTATTGATTGTTGATGATAATTCGGTGTTTTCCAGGCTTACCATGAAGTAGACAGCTAGGAGGGATCCTAATGGAGATCCCATCGCCACACCACCTATCTGCTTGTAGATCTCATCATTAAATCTGTAGTGTACATTGAAGGTACATAGAAGGAGAAACTCTTTTAGGTAGTGAATTGAGATACCAACATCTATGTTATGATGTTGAATGAATTCGCATAGGAAGCAGATGGTTTCTCTCAGTGGAACATTTGTAAAGAGGAACATGATAACCAATGAATTCATTCTTTTACCTGCCAGATTGACACTCTTTATTGAGTCAACAAAATCAAATGTGTCACGGAGACTGTAGTCCAATAGCCTCTTATTTACAGGTTACAGCACTTCAACCAGCTATTTCGCGATTGAACGACATGGAGAATTTATCATATCTAGTAGTGAACACTTTGGGATGCTTTCTTTGTGTATTTTATGAAGACCCTATAGATGGTAGATCGTAGAACTTGATGAGCGACCGCACCATGAGTCCGCTTGTAAAACGTATCCCCCAACACTACCCAGCCTGGCTTGTAAAAGGGAGAACGGGAATGCATCTTCAGTTCGATAACAGAACACCTCGTGAATGAAAGTTTGTTAAAATATCAATGATGAAAGGAAATATTTTAAGATTCTAGGAGTTGTAACCGGTTGATAAAAGTGAACAGAAGTGTATTGTTCCATTCTGTTCCCTCCCCCCCAATGGTTTTCTGTGCTCTTTTCAAATTCAACGGAGTTAACATTGTTGGTGCTTATTCATTTCTAGTCCTAGAGGGGATATAAAAGTTAAAATTTGCTACACATATATCCTTGGCCAGGTAATGAGCTTTTCTTTTAGATCAAAGATTCCAACACTTAACTATTTCAAGAATATACTTGAAGTTATTACATAACTTTGTCTCTTTCTTACTGACTTAGGACCATAATGTTAGTAACAAGATGGTAAGTGATAAACATGAAAATATTTAGAGATTTAGACATGGATAAATTCGAGTAATATTGTTTTCTGATTACCCGTATATAGAAACGTCTACTAAGTGACATTGTTAACCTGCATTAATGTCATGGTCAGGTGAAGGATACTAGGCATGAAAGGTGATTTATTTCAAGTGGTTGTTAACGTTTATAGAGTATGTTAGGTATACAGAGCCGCCGCCTAAGTCAACTTGTGATGCTAGCCAAAGTAGGATTCGGTTGGATGTAGGCTAAAGGGTATCCAGATCAAGACGTGACATCAGTTGAAATAGTCTTTGACCTTTGATTAGACATGTATATGTAGGTGTGGACTACCTGAAACCATAGAACTCTTGACGAAATGGCTGGAGGTTGAATGTTTTGACTAACGTTCATTTCTGAAATCTTTCCTCTTCGTATACACCATTGCTTTGATATGACTATTTTTCTAGCAAGTTGGTTTTTCGCTCGCTGCTGTGAAGTATTGGAACTTCAACCGTTGAACTTGAGTAAAAAGTTCTGCTTTGATTTGATCCAACTATCTGTATGCAGTCATATGTATTGGTCAGTACGAAGCATCGTACTGCAAAACTGCGAATCTCGTTGTGGGCTGACAGATAATTGTGACCTTATGGTCGTGGTCAAACTTGTACGTCGCAGTGACCCAGAGAGCTGCACGAGTTGGAACGCTTATTCCTTCGAGATACTGGTGTGCCAGAAAGATCTGATGGATAGTGGTAAGATGAACAACAATTACTGTCGTAGTGTAGAGTGTTACACTATGATGGGAGTCCAAGGGTGAACGGGGTGTGACAGAAGTGTTGGAAAAGGTTAGCCCCAAAATAGTACACTCCTCCCTGTTCCATTGCCTTCCAATGTCAGCGGTATGCGTTTTCTCGATCCGGCGCTAGAACAATCAAGTTTCACATCAACAATCCTCAGGGCTGTACTGGTGTCAAATGTATGCCACATTGTAACCTTGCCTCTACATAGAATGATGTAGTGGAGTAAAGTTAATTCCCAACCGTGTTATTTTCACCATAGTAGGTGAACGTAATTACCTTCGTTGATGCTTTAATAATACAGGACTCCTTAGAAAACTTTATTGTTCCACCAAAATAGACTTATACCACTTCCCACCTCTATCTTAATAAATTACAGAAATCATTTAGGCAACAAAAATTGTGTTATGTATTGTGGTACTGGTAATAAAAGAGTCCTATAATCACACGTCTATCCTATTGATTTATTGATTATATCAGTGTAAGGTTTTTTTTCTGAGGAACAAGTCATAAATAATGCCCGCATTCTAGCGATTAATAGGACAAAAAAATAATCAGGACAATAATTATTGAATTGCCTTTTTGAAAAAAAAGCTAATAATAATGACACCGTGAAGATTGACAACTTCTAGAAACCTTTCTTATCCCTGTGAAAGATATACACGTGTTTTCATGAATACAGTAAAACTGCAGAATAGATTGTCAGGTTAATACTCAAAAAGCTGCCATCAAGTGAATAGATTCAAAGAGGATAAACCATGAATTTCGCACCTGGTAGTACTCATCAGCATAGTTTATTGTTAACCTAAGGGTAGAAGATTTTCTCCTGAGACATCTCCACTTGAGCCACTCTAAATTAAACTTACAAACACTTATTGTTACAATTTAATTGATTATGGACAGCAGTGGAATCCAGAGTGCACGTTTCGTCCGACTTTAAACTCACTGGTTGGATTTAGCTACCTCCAAGTGAGCGGTTTTATTCCCAATAAGACACATCACACAATAAGTAGCTGTCCTGACTCATTGGGCTAGTCGATAATGCTGTGCAGTTCGAAGCGATTGGTCTCGGGTTTGATTCCAAATGGGAAAAACATTGCTCACCAGGAGACAGTTACACCCAGCTGATGAGTCCCAAGTGGAAAAAAACGTGCATCCTGGACTCTACTGCTAGTCATTACCCATCACTTATTTTCAATTTGAAACATGTCAGTAATACTGAGGTATTAGGCCAGCTGTTCATATGCTAAGATTGGCTGATCGATTCAGTTCAACCAACAACGGAGATATAAAGTCTATAACACTAAACTGCATCCCGAACCATCGTTAACCAACAGCTGTTTCAAGTTTTACGGTTCTGTGATAAAAAACTTGCAGAATGAAAAGGTAACCAAGGGTTTTAAGACGATCACTTTACTGTTTTCAACCACTCGTCAATCAGTCAGTCAGAACATGAGGCTTGACATTATTGCGTAAGGGTCTTAGTTACCATATTTTATACTAGCACATCATGTTAAGAGGTAGATTGGGTAGCAAGAAGCATATTCAACACATTCCAAAAGTGCCACTCAGTATGTCCAAAGTATTCTGCATCTTATCACTGTCCTCGCCTAACAGGACTGTGTCATCTGCATACTCCACATTGATTGAAGATTCTTTTGAGACGATGTCGACTCCTGTTAAGCCGGACGAAAAGTGGAAGACCTCTGGAAACACAAGTATGACAGAAGTAAATAAGAATGGAGAGAGTGGACGATCCTTGATAGACGTTACTCTACGTGCGAAACTCATCTGAAAAATCACCGTGAGCTGCAATATTCTCTTGGGATATTTGAATGTACAAACTTCAACGACGTGATGCACATACCTAGGACCCTATTCGATGAAAGGCTCTGTCATAAGATCTCTCAGTCAGTGGAGTTGAATGTTACCTCTAGGTCATGAACTACAGCTAGTTATAGGCACCTATAAGCCTGCCTCTTGTGTTGCTTACTTATAAGTTATTATAATCATGGTATGTTTACGTTCCCAAAACTATACATAACTAAGTAGAAATGTGTAAAAACTGTCACCGTTTCCTAGGGGAGTAGGAATGTCTTTCAAACTGACAATTACCTTTTAACACGCAGCAACAACAACAAAAGTGTGGCACATAGAATGAATCATCAACAAATTCACTTCACATTTCTATCCAATCAGAGACTTGATAGACTTGAGTCGGTCACTCAAAAGATATTTATCTTATAATCTCCCTCTCTATTGTAACACAGATCATGTTATCCATTCTACAGAGAAAGCTGATAAATTTGATACTTATGCTTCCAGATGGATATCAGGAAGTTCTAATGAGAAGCCGTGACTTGTAGGGTCAACCAGTTGGAAGTAAAGTGGATGCTAACTGAAGAACTTGGGTGACAGTTACGCTATGTCGTGAATTGACAGAAGTTGGAAATTGTGAACCAGTGGCTGAATGGTTGACGCGTTCACCATGAAACCTGAACGTCCTGAGTTCGACCCCTAGCCAGGTCGTGGGTGCGTACTGTTGAGGAGTCTCATACTAGGACGAAGCAGCTGTCCAGTGCTCACAAGTTTTCAATGGTTCCCCAACTGATTTCAGTCCATGATGAATACTACTTCTGATAGAGATAGTGTTAATGATAAAACAGATACTGACTGGGTCGCAGGCATACATATCTGAGTGTTTTCAATTGGTCGGAAAATGTGTTCTTGATCTCTCTATTGGTCTGAACCATATTTATCTATGCAAGGTGATAGAAATCTTTTACAGTTTTATTCGTATCGTATAGTCCTAGCTAAATTTATCAATCATTTTTGTAATATGGTTACCGAGTTGAGAGACTCATCATGATGGTGCAGTTTGATGGATACTGGTTAATTGGAGGTATTCCCTCTAGAGTAAAGCAGCAGTCAACTTTCGTTAAAAACTTTAAAGGTAAGTACCTGAATAAAAATAGTATAGTAAAGATCCCATTTTAAACTTTCAACTTGTGTATTACCTTAACCAATAAATATGATTAATGATGAATCGTTGCTAGCAGTGGAATCCAGATGCTCATTTCGTCCCATTTTGGACTCATCAGCTGGATGTACCTGTTTCCTAGTGAGTATTGTTCCCACCGGGATTGACTCATTTCAAGGTCACCATTCAGCCATTTTCGAAGGCTAATTTTTACCAACAGTTTATCTCCCCTAACAATTCTTGTTAGATTAAATAAAATCATGATTGGTTTTTTACCATTCTTTCTTAAATAATATATTTATTTCTGTTTTTCGTCCCTTCCCATCCTTCCTCAGGTGACCATTGTCATGGAAACTTTAGTGTTGGTCAAAGTATAGACTTGAAAGCTAGAAGAAAGCTTATCCTAGCCAGTGTTCTTTGTTTATTTTTTATGACCGGTGAAATAATCGGTAAGTTGTGTAGGAATTTCTCAGTCTAGCCCCCCCCTCTTCCCCAGTAAACTGTAAATAATTGTTTTCAAGAGATTCTTTTATTGTTTTTAATATTGATTTTCCTGATGATATTTTTAAATCCTATCGGCTGTGAACATTTTGAGGTAATGTATTCACATAGGCATGTCATTGGAGTTGTAAAACTGTAACAATTATTCATGTTAGTAAGAATTTACCTAGGTGAGCCAATAAAATTTTGTCTAGTTATGTATTCTACACCTATGCTGAAGGATCTGACACATTAGAGACTTTGTCGGCTAGCAATGGAATCTAAAATGTACGTTACGTTCCGTTATAAGGCTCTCTAGCTGGATCTACCTGAACTCAACTGAGACTGAAACCCATTATCCACCACTTCAAACTGTCGACTGTTAACTATCAAGTAGATTATAATATATAATGTACATCCAGGAGTTATTCAGGTATCCTTATAGCAGCCCACCTGTTAACAATAGTAGAGTAATTCTACCCAGTTTGGCAAGAAGGAATTACAAGTATCGAACAATGACTGATACCTGTTACACAAGAGCTAGCTGCCGTACCCTGATGGCCTAGTAGATAACGTCTTGACATTTGAAGCCATGGGTTCCAATCCCAGTGGGAACAACATCAATTTCTGAAGGTGCAGTTACATTCAGGTGATACCTCCCAAATAAGGGAAAATGTGTATCTTCCTAGTCGCTAACTGATTACCGTTACGTAAAAAGCAACCGTATTGAAAAGATTATCAGCTTGACTTCAATATCTTTGTCTAAAAAAACTAAAATTACTATTAAACTGATCAACTGATATGAAATAATGACTATACTATTGATAATGGATAGTGAATAAAGGGTACATGAAAATCTCGGTTGTAAAGGTTTCGAACTAGAGCCAACGGGTTTACTGACCTAATGACCTGACCTATTAAGTTTCACATAATTATTTATTTAAATTAACAGGATATTATAAATTTTTCCGATTGTTATCGTCATTATTGCTTAAAACGGAACTGAGCAATTATCGTAATAAATTTCACTCTCCTTTTTTGATAATCCAACAAATAAACGAATTTCTGTATTTTTGAGATGAATGGAGATTTTAATTTTGAGGTAGTATTCATCATGGACTTAGAATGTCAGTCAACTCTCTATCTCAACTTCATCGACTTTGAAAAGGCCTTTAACAGCGTTGACCGACAAGTAATTTGGCAACTGCTTCAACACTACGGCTTTAGTGCCACAAACAATCATCAACCTCATTCAACAACTATGTGAAGACGCCATATGCCAAGTAACTCACTGTGGGAAGTTCAGTGATGCCTTTGAAGTGAAGACAGGAGTAAAATAAGGCTGTCTACTATCACACTTGATATTCCTGATTGTGGTCCACTGGACTCGGCTGCATCATGCAACAAACTGTGAGGAGACAGAAGAGGGGGATGCGCTGGACCGCGGAAAAGAACCTACAAGATTTGGATTTCGCCGATGACTTGTGTCTCATGTCGCACAAACTTGAAAATCTACAGGCGAAAACTGACAAGTTGACAGAAGAGGCGAGGCTGGGCAATCAAGACGGGACACCATTCAAGTGAACGTAGAGAAGACAGATGTGATGAAGATACCCAACCAACACTACCAACAACAACAAGAAGCTGCAATCACCATCAGAGGAAGAAACTTAGATGGTGACATGGAGGAGATCGTGCGAGGAAGAAGTGAGAGCTTGTGGTCGGTTGTGGAGCGAGGTTGAAAAGTTTGCAGAGAAGAGAGTGGAATGAAGATGTGCTACTGAAGCTGTATGTTCCATTAGGAACCCAAGGGACAAATAATAATAATAATAATAAATTCACCATAAACTGATATCAGTTGAAGAATCATTAAAAAGCTGGGAGCACTGGATAGCTGTTTCGTCCTAGTGTGGGACGCACCCACGACGTGGCTACAGATAGAAGTGAGAAATTTCAGGTTCCGTAGCCATTGCGTTACCATTGAGCCATTGGATCGGAATTTAGTGGTCCAATGGTGGTGGCTCAACGGCAACGTGCTGGTCATGGAACCTGGAGGTTTGGGGTTCGATCCTTTGTAGGGTCATTGGTGCTCGCTTCTGAGGAGTCATGTACCAGGACAAAACAGCTACCCAGTGTTCCTAGGTTTCTCATGTTCCCCCAACTGATGTCAATTTGTGATGAATACCAACTTGAACAATTCCTAAATCCGTACAAATCCTCAAATTAAACCATTTAAGTATTGTTTGACGTTTGATCACTAGAGCAGAATACAAAACTGACCTCTGAATGCTTACGGGACTTGCTAGTTGAGCTGTGTTTCACCCTTATCAATACTCATCACTTAAGTGTTTCTGTACCTCAGAGAAAGTGTACGCTGATAAGTGTTTGCTGTTCTCCTAGCTTTGACGTCCCATCACCATGCTAGACGACTTCATAAGGATTTACTTCATAAAGAAGCGAAGTATCTTCAAGTTGCATTTATCTTATGAAGGATTTTTGTCCACCTCTAGTGTGGGTAAGTGTGATCCATCATTCTGCTCTTTTTATTAATCAAAAGTTGACCTTTATCAATTAGCCTATTGCCTGATTATTGATTTTCAGTTAGCTGATCTCTTCTTAAAAATTCTCTTGCACTTCTTATAGCTTGTTTCTTCTAATATTTCCACATTGTTATAGTCAGTGGCATGGTTGTTCGCATTTGCATACATACATACATACATCGATATCAATGAGAATATTTATTTATTCAGTATGGCTGGTAAATGATTTTCTACAACCCTGAAGAAACTGATGCTCCCTTGGAAACTAAGGCCATACCCATGTGTGTTTTGTGTTTTCGAAAAGTAAAAACATGTTATGAAATAATTATCAGAATGGATTTCAGCAAGGAAAGGATGTTGAAGAGGTTAATGAAACGGAATTCCAGCTTGAAACAATGTGAGAACCCTTTCTGTACATGAAATCTGAGATAATTTGATGAGTGGCATACAGCTTAATAGAAATTATTGTGAAAATGCTATCTTCCTGATTACCATAGACAAATAAACACATTTAGGAATCATAAGGTTATAAATCAAAAGATGTATAGTAAAGAGCCGGTCTTTTCAGCGATATCATTCTCAAGCAGATTTATGAAGACAGAACTAATATTTGGTTATTAAGTTAAACGATGTAACACGGTGAATATGAAGCGATCTTAGAATTATGTGACATAGAGGAATGTAATGTGTGTAAGAAGATCTGAATGAAAAGATTTTTGAAGGTAGAAATGTTTTTATAGGCTATGTTCATTACAATTCAAGTGAATGAACAAATTTCTTTTGTACTTCGAGTTCAAGCTTTAAAATATTAATTGTCATGGCTTCTGCAGTTTGAAGAAGTTTTCGGCGTACACTTTTCATAAGGCTTACACGAAGTCAATAGATGACACTGAGATTGTTTTCTACATTGACCGAGTGGTCATAATTGATCAAATGTTCTAAAATAAAGTTGTGAGGTGTTCTTCTTTCTCCTTTGTGGAACCAGGCTGGTATACGTTTGGATAAGCGAACGCTGAGAAAGACCAATATACTCTACTCCATTAGGCAGATGAATTGATAAAGAAACATTGAGGTGGCCAAGGAAGCTAACTTATCCTTTACTCATTATCAAAGCATCGGGTGGATGAAGAAAGTTAATCTGAGTTTAGCAGCATAGAAAGTCTTCCTCAGTGAGCATGCCAGACGGTTTCTCAATATATCTGCTGATGTGTCCCTGACGAATTGTAAAATACGTTCATAATTCCCACTGTGACATCACGAACAAGATATTCATCGAAGAAAACTCTTTTCAACGAGTTTATTCTCAAGTTGTACATTCATATATATATATATATATATATATATATATATATATATATATGTATAAACAGGTTTTTTCATCGTAACTTCTGTTTACAGGAGGAGCTTTAGCGCATAGCTTAGCAATTATGACTGATGCTGCTCACCTACTAACAGATTTTGCTAGTTTCCTCATCAGTTTGTTAGCCTTATTCTTGGCATCTAGACCATCAACAAACAAAATGAGTTTTGGATGGCATCGTGCAGGTAAGCTGGAAAAAAAACGATATTTATTGACATTTTATTTAACACAATCATAGGCTAATTGTCTTCAATCAATTGGCATATTTGGGATGTTTATCTTTTCAAGTTATGTTTTGGCAAACTGTTAAAATTCATAAGCCAAATTCCTTCAACCAAGTAACAGTAGTAAAAGGGCACCATGATGATGAGTTTCCCAGTTAGGTGACCACATTAAACAAAATGATGAGTAGAATTTGATCAGCCCTCAGGAATAGACAACAGAAAGTTGCATGCTCTCAAGTGACCAATCAGTATATCTAATCCAGTCCTAAAGTAAGCCAATCGTAGCCTAAATATCTCAGTGCTAGCCTCGCTGACAACAACACTGGATGACGTGTGTTCGAATGTCAAACGGGACATTAGTTCCCTGAAGGCTGTAGATATGACTTAATGACGACGGCCAACAGTCACAAAATTTAGATGAAGCATGGCTTTCTGCCGATAGCCTGAGACCAAAAACACTTTAATGGTCTCAGCTGAAGTTACCATAGAAAAGTTTAACTTACCAATTAAATAAACCTTTCCTAAAGGCGGTGTTCATCGTGGACTGATTTCAGTGCTCAGTAGTAAGTGACTTGCTTTGAGATAAGATTTATTGAAGTTCCTATGAAAAGTCGTGACCAGTGAGGTAAACCATGTCGAGCGCGAAGATAAATACTCAACAGTGGTACTAGGGGATAGTAGCGCTATATCACTTACTGATAGAAGTAGAAAACTGTGGAACATGAGATACAGATTCAATGACTGAATGGTAAAGTTATTGCCACAAGACCTGAAGGTCTTGAGTTCATTGCGTGTTGAAGCCATGGATACGCACTGCTGAGAGTATTCACTCTAATAATTCATATTTCTGCTGATAATTTGTATTCTTATAAAGCTTTGAAATGTACAGAATGCAATGAAATTAACCGTCTCTACTATTCATCTGGACTACAAAAATCAGTTCTGGTGATTGTTTATTAATTTACCCTTGTTTCTTGTATATTCTCAATTCAACTTACATACATCACATGTCCACTGAATACCAGCGACATCATCAAGGCCTTAAAATTCTGCTTAGAGACTATACTTACCTCACATATAAAGGAGAACTATACAGGTAAACTGACGGTGTTGCTATACGTTCACCTGCTTCACCAATACTAGTTAACCTATTTATGAGTAGATTTGAAGAAAGTGTCTTCACTCACTTACTAAACTCAGACATTTCACTGAGATACCTTGATGAGACATTCGTCATCTTTAAAACACAACTTACAGCAGACATTCTTTGATCAGCTGAACTCTAGATCTCCCAGTGTATCAAGTTCAACCGAGAAAAAGACACAGATAAGGAGGGGAACTACCTTTCCTTGATTGTCTTGTTAAGTGGAGAGAAAATGGTCATTTAGGTATAAGGAAAGCAACACATGCGAACAAATATTTACATTTCAACTCATCACATCCAAACACCAGTGTGAAAGTTTCTCTCGCCTCCAGTCTCCTAGGCAGAGCACACACACACCCACTTTAATAACGCGAGTTAAGGAATTAAAATATATGAACAAGATACTTAAAATGAATAATTATCCAATGGAAATTCATTCACAAAATAGAAAATAACAATAAATTACTCTGTAAAACTACTCCTTAATCATGCATCTCAACACAAAGATGAAATTAGGAGAGTGTTGAACAAATGAAACATCATCAGAGTATTCTACAGAACATCAAACACATTCCAGAACACCTTAGACCATGTGAAGCATGAGTTCCCTCTAGATTCACAATCTAATTGTGTTTATAAAATAAAATACTCAGTCTATGGTGTAAGATACATAGGACAGACTTGCCTTGAAATAAAAATGAGGAAAAATGAACACCGAAGAGCTTCCACTCGACCTCCTAGAAATCTAGTGGAATTAAAAAGCAACTTGAATAGAACTTCAGCCATAGCTCTACATGTTATAATCTCAGGTCAAAATGTCGATTTTGACAATATCGAAATTATTCAGAAAGACTTTAGGAGTTATAAAGAACGTCTCTTCACACAAACTGCAATCAAAATTGTCTGATTGTCTAGGAAGGAATGAGGGAATAAAACGTAGTTTGACCTGGTCTCAACCCACCTCCATATACTGAAATAACCAGGAGATAAGAACTATAAGCACACATGTGTACATAGAAATCTCAATCTGTAATTTATACACTCATCACACACACAACACACTATAAATGGATATCATCTTTATTCTACAATTTTAAAAACTGGATTTGAGGTTTATTGGGGACTTAATAAATTTTCAAATTGGTATTCATCATGAACTGACATCAGTTGGAGAAACATTAGAAATCTGAAAGCACTAGACAGCTGTTTCGTCTTTGCACCAGATCCAGTTCTCATCGGTGACTAGTTTCGAAAAGTGATCCCTGAACTTCTAATGAGAAATCATGATTGGTGAGGCAAACCTGGTGGCCGTAACAGAATAATCAACCATGACATAGGGTGATTGTCACTTTTTGCCGTGAACTGACAGAAGTCAGAAATATGCACGACCGGATTCCGATCCAGTGGCTCAATCATGACGTGCTGGCCACGGAACATGAAGGTCTTGGGTCCGATTCCTGTAGGGGCGGGGGGTCATGGATACACACTGGTGACACACTTCCTACCAGGATCAGACAGCTATCCAGTGCTCTCAAGTTTCCAATGCTCCTCCAACTCATATCAGTTCATGATGAATAACAACTTGAACAATTCTGACATCTCAGAATCATTCATGCAGACGAACACTTGTCATGTTCTTATATATATACATATAAACTTGCATATTGTAAATTCCTGTTTACTACTGTAACTTTGATAAAGCTAAGTAAGCATTAAGGCACCAAATAGTGGAACATCATTTGAAACGAATTCATTCCATTTCACATTCATAGGAAAATACAATACAACACAAGACAATGAATATCACTCAAGTTGGCATGTGGGAAACAACAGAATTGTGAAAACCTGTCCATGTGGACAGTGTAGTTTGTAAATCATTTGCAAATTGACAATCTGTTTTGAAGCATACCGGTTAGGGTTTGCAAGCTAGTTAGCCAGGTAGATTTCAATGATCTGAACTAATTTCGCTGTATGAGGTGAATTTATCCGGATACATCGCTAGTTGACTGACTCGGCTCTAAACCACCTGAATGACTGTTTGGTATTTAGATCACACTGATCTAGCTGGCCGGTGGAATCTACAGTGAGTAGCGTCTAACCACTCAAATTCTTCACCAGTAGTATCTTCTTCCTTAGTTCAAGACACTTTTGTACTAGAGATCCTACCTCGTGATCTCGGTTGAATGGTTTCAAACAGAAACCTTGTTTACGTCAAAGTTGGGCATTTGGAAAACTACTCAACTGTGAGAAATATTAATGTAGACCATGAAAGTTGTAGGTTATTTGCAAACGCAACTCTAAGTATTCAGCTACATGTTGTTCAATGGACTCTTACTGATCAATTCCTTTTTAGTTTAGAGGTTTGTGGGAATTGACTGGTTGATTTGACAGTGATCTTCATCACGGACTGACACCATTTTGTGAGCCATCGAAAATCTGAGGACAGTGGATAGCTGTTTCATCCTAGTATTTGAGCTCGCAGTAGGACACACCCAAGATCGTCAACATTCAGCCACTATGTCATAATTTGATGATCTACATTTTCTCACCTGTCAATTCACAATAAAGAGTGATTAGCATGCAATGTCTTCAACAGGTATCCACTTCATTGATGACTTGAATGACCAATCGGTCAACTTCAAGTGATTTCATGCTGACATCAGTCAGCATGATTGTAATTCCTTTCCGTTGACATTAGGAAATCCAATTAGATGTACCCCAGTGGTTACCTTTAATAACTTCTGTTTTAAACTGACTAACAAATTCACCAGTTATTAATGTGTCTAAAGTTGTTTCTTTCGATAAAGTATCTTGAAACTTATGTCCTTGGTTTTTTGATTTCAAACCATTCCATTACTTTGTTCTTTAATGACCTGTTTCATATTACTGATATCTTTCTAATATGTTTGAGTTTTTTTTCAAAATAGATGACTTGATTGACCTTGACTTGACCTTCCTTATTTAAGAATGTGTGTATTGTTTGTTTTTTTGAAGAAGTCGTTGGCGCATTTGCATCAGTTATGTTAATCTGGTTGGTGACTGGTATACTCGTCTACTTGGCTGTTATACGCATCATTCATAATAAATATGAAATTGATGGGAAAATAATGCTGATCACTTCTGCTACAGGAGTTGGAGTAAACATTATGTAAGCTTTATTACATCGTGTCTACTTTCACCTCACAGTGAATATATTAAGCACTCAGAGGATATTTGTTCCTATTTTTCTTTCTCTCTGTCTCTCTCTCTTTCTTTTCAGTATCGTTAATTACCGATAAAACAGAAATTCAGGAACCTATGGAAATGTAAATAGAATAAAGGGATACATTCATCGGTCACAGGAGATCAGTCGATTTCATGTTGTCTCCTTCTGAGTGTTGTTCGTATTCTGTCAGCCTGTTTTACAATGTGGTCATCAGGCGGCTAAAAGACTTGCCACTACCCAGCTACCAATTTATCCACATAACCAGTTTTACAGAGGGTCAATCACTGTTTCAATGGCTCAGTGATAACGTCTCCAACCACGGCATTAGTAGTACGTCTCGTGTTTTGAGATGATCGACACACAGATGGCTTTGAGTGAAGACGATGCTGGTTATCTGATAAAATAACACCTGTCAGATGTTTACATGAATTCAGATATTTGTCCACAACTATTTTAACTAGTAGGTTCACAGGTACACCACTAGTTCTGCTGACAATCTTCAAAGTTCTACACAACACACATCATAGTCCTTTTTCAGCAACCCAGGAAAAAATAAAGGGCAGCAAAAGAGAAGAACAGGCAAAATTCAGGAGTTTATAAAACACAGAAGGAGAGGTTGAGTTATACCAGCAGATACTCTCAACTTCCTAATATACGAAGTTGGGTGGAAAATTCTATTGTAAATAAGTGAGGTAAGGTAAGAGAGGACCAGTCTAGGTCTGGAGAAAAACATATACGGTGAGATAAATCACACATGTAACATTCTCTAATGCCCAACGATCAACACAACAGGAATCATGAGAACCAAGCAGTTTGCGTAGGTTATGTTCATGTCTTAAACTAAAGTTCATGGTGTGACATTTTGAGGAATTAAGCATAAGACCATTCACGGAGGACCATCGTCTAACAGTAGATAGGAAGTCATTCAGTTGGGAAGAATCTGTTGAAGAGGAAACTGTTAAGTCGTCAGCATACTTGATGAGATTGATACCAGTTGAAGATGGTAGGTCATGCAGAAGGAATGAGAAAAGACATAGCGAAAGGATGACTCCTTGGGGAACAACAATCACAGTAGGGAATGAGGTGGAGCGCTTCTCTCTGTAAACAGTATGTTGTTTCCCAGTAGACAAATAGGGGTGCAGCCAACTGATGATCCAGGACTCAGTAATTGTCCCGGTTAGCTTATCCAGCAAAATAGGTCTTGGGACAGCATTAAATGCTGAAGTATTGCTTAAAAGGCTACACCTGATATACTTGCATTTCTATCAAGCTTATAAATAATATTGTGACATAAGACAGTGGTGACATCCAGAGGGTCTGCGAAAGCCTTTAATGATGGTTTGAGCACAGGTATCACTAGCTTCTCTATTATTTTCAAGAACGGAGAAGTAATTGCAATCGGACGGAATTTAAGACATCTGCTTGAAGTCGTTGACTTAGGTACTGGGACTGTCTTAATATCTTTCCAGGCAGTTGGTGTGGTATTTTCCCAAAACGATCTATTAAATATGTTAGTTATGCAAAGCATATCAAGACGCTTCGTGAATACGAAGCTTGACATGCATACACTACTGACCAAAATGAATGTTCTAGACGACTCAGAAATGTCACCAGCGCTTTCGAGGCAAATTGAAATGACTTAAGCTCCAGACAACCATTCCGATCATCTAAGGCCGAACTCTGCAACAGTGTACTCAGATTGATTAATCTCAGCCAGTCAAATTGTTCAAACCACTGGAATTCCGATTAGCGCTACTTTAACAGTATAGAATCTTATCAGCTGCGTAAAGGACAGCAGGATAGTTCAGTCGTCAAAGTAAATAGGGAGCCATATGATGTGAGAAAAGCCCCAATGTAGATTATACAAAACAAATTTTTCCCAACAGCTGGAACCTCTAGTGTGCTTTTAAAAAGTATCACTGTACCAAACTTCAATTCACAGTTAGCTCCTTACTCACTAAATTACTTGCTTTCTTAAGATACTAATTATAACTGGAAATAAGTAGTATATCCAGACGTTTGAATTTTTTTTTCTCCTAAAGTATGCTCTTAACACTACATGATCATGGACATAGTCATGGTGCATCAGATGGTCATACACATTCAGTCAGTGTATCGCAAAATTTTCCACCTGAATCAAGATTGAATGTAAAGCATGTACATCATGTTGATGATTTATCTACTGTTAATGTTGAACATGTAGCAAATAAAGAAATTCACAAAGAAGCTAATCATCAAAATATTACTGTTCGTGCTGCATTTATTCATGTGATTGGTGATTTATTACAAAGTGTTGGAGTTATGATTGCAGCATTAATTATCTATTTTCAGGTAATCAGACTACACCTTTTGTTATGGTACTTGTAATTTCCTGTTGCTATACAAAGTCGAATTATTCGACCTCTGCTATTGGCAGATGGGCTCCTTTTCGGATTCTTCGACACTGCCGAATATTCATGATATTATATTAATGTTGGTGACTGGTATAAGAATCCACGAAGTGTGTTTCGCCCTGCTAGGGACCCGTCAGTTGAATGTGTCACAACAGCAACTGATACCCGTCGCACAAGAGGTGTGTACCGTCTCACAGTGGCATAGTGGACAACGCGTTGGGATCTGAAGTGATCGGCATTGGGTTCAGGTGTCGGCAAGAACAGTATCAATAACTGAGGTGCAGGTACATCCAGCAGATGAGCCCAAAATAAGACGAAATGGGTATCTTAAATTCCTCTGCTAGTCACCAACATGGGTATAAGATTACACTTTGTTGTAATTTTATCAGTTTTTTGGTCAACATGCTTTTTGAGGTGAATTATCTAGTCTCAAAGGCATATTTGTACCTGAGAAGAAGTGAATAGTCCGGAATTAGATGGTGGGTGAATATCAGGTACTTTTGAGAGTGTAGAAACTATTTAGCAAATGTTTTTGCCTCAAGTTGAACGTTAAAATCAGAGAAGTGAAACATAAGTTTCTCAAAGATAACTTGGTGTTATCCAGTTTCTACGTGACACTTTTTGGTTCGAATCTCATATAGGACATCAGTTCCCTGGAAGTTGTAGATACACATTACTGGCAAGTGTTAAAAAGCAAGACACTTAAGTGCTGTAGTGCTCCTAGCCGATCACCTTCAACCGGCCAACTTAGAAGCCAGCATCTGTCAAACAGGACTATTTATAATTTAGGTGCATTGGACGACTGTTTGTTATTTGCATAGGACTAAAAAGGGTTGCTCACTGATAGACCGACCAGGGGACGGACTCTGGACCGCCAGATCTCGCAGCAGGTACATCATCATCATCGTCAACAATATTAGTGACACCAGTAACTTCCTATCTGTGAACTCATCAAATTTCTTCCTCTTCATTTTAAAGCCTAGTTACAAAATCGTTGATCCACTGTGCACATTCCTATTCTCTGTCTTGGTTCTTATCACTACTATCAATATACTAAGAGATACATTGAATGTTTTAATGGGGCTACACCGCGTGGATTAAATTTCAATGAGGTGAAGAATTCTTTGATTGATATACCTGGAGTTAAAGAGATACACAATTTACATATGTGGAGTTTAACAACAAATAAGACAGCAGTTTCTGTACATTTAGCCATTGGTAAGTGTAAAACAAGTGAATAAAGATTTTCTTTATAAATATTTGTGAATAGTTTTCATCATTTTACAAATTTCATTTTCACTTAGTGATCTTTGCGTGGATAAGTGAAATCTTTACGTATAATGAAAGTCTATATTCTGATTGTGGCCTATTAATTCAGTCTAATCGTTAACCAATATATATCCAAACTATTGTAGTGGATACTACTGATAACAATGGATATAAGTAGTATATATTGGGTAGAATTACCAGCAATAGGTAAAGATTATGCCCAGAGAAAGGCAAGAGACATTGTGAACGTATTAAGAGCAAGCTGGGATACAAGCAGAAGAGGAAATCAAGAACATTATGCAAATGACTATTTTAATAGGTGTACAATTTTCATCAAGATGTCGTCATATACATTCTGTCCTGCATCTCACTCAATCTTTGTCATTTTTTACACTATAATATAGAAAATTACACAACAGCTGTAGAACAAGAAGTGGTTGTTGTCACTCAGTGGTTTAGTGGGTAACACTCGGTGTTTCGAGCGACTAGTGCTAGACTCGAGTTCTAGGGCGAACAATAAATGTCGCTGGCCAAGAAGAGGGGCAAGTATGCATCTGATGTAGTAGTCTCAATTGGGATGAAACGGGCCACCTGGATTCCACTGCTATCCACTATCCATCATAGATATAATGATCGTCAAAAGAAATTGGTTACTTTTGATGCTTGTCAATGCCATTAAATGTGATTACATGATTCCCAAACAAGGAATACACTGAACAGGACCCATCTCACTGAATTTATCCTCAAGTTATGCATTCATATTTATGGGAGACTGAAGTAACAATAATTGTGGTAGTACTAATGATGGGTAGAGGATAGCAATGGAATCCAGGACGCAAGTTTTGTCCTACTTGGGACTCGTCAGCTGCACGTACCTACCTCCCAGTGAGTGCCGTTGTTCCCACCGGGTCACAGTAACAACACCTTGTGCAACGGGTATGGATTTAATGCTATTGCTTGTATTGTCCTGTCTCACAAGAAGTAGCTGTCATAGCATGGTGATCTAATGGATAACGCTCTGGTGTTTGAAGCGATCAGTTCTGAGTTCGAGCCCTGGTGTGGATGTCACACTTGGAGACAGGTAAATGCAGCTGACGAGTCCCAAGTGGGACAAATCGTGCGTCCTTGGTCCCACTCCTAGCCACTATCCATCATCAATATGCGTAGGAGTCCATATGCCAATAGAGACCGACCACTTCGGTCCAATCAACGACGGGATAATACAGGCAACAAGATTATAATCATGGTAATATTATAATAATGTTCCTAGTTAAAAATATAAACGTTGAATGATAACTAAAGGTGTTACGTAAGATTTTGAGATCGTTCATAGGGTGGGGTGCATATAGATGACAAAGAGTTCGAACCAATGACTTCCTGGTTACCAGTCCGTTACTGTACTAACTGAGTTATGACTCCACCAGAGTAGAACCCAAGACTTCAGGCTCTGTGGCCAGCAGGTTAACACTGATCAAGTGGGCCAGAATCAAAAGATCCTTATTCCAACTGATTTCAGTCAATGATGAATACTAATTTGAAAAATTATTAAATCCCCACAAAAAATTAATCTAGTGGTCATGAGTGACTAACTTCGAGAGGTGATTCTTGAAGTTCCAATGAGAAGTTGTGATTAGTGGGGCAAACCTTTTAGATGTGAAGACAACTACTGAATAATGAAGTTGTCATGAACTGACAGAAGTTAGAAATATGGATGGTTGCATTCCAACCCAATGGCTCAACGTTAACGTGCTGGCCATGAAACCTGAATGTTGCGTGTTCGGGCCCTGGAGGGTATGGTCATAGGTGAGAACTGCTTAGGAGTCCCATACTAGTCGAACAAATTCACCTCATACAGCCAAATTAGTTCAGATCATCGAAATCTACCTGGCTAACTAGCTTGCAAACCCTAACCGGTATGCTTCAAATCAGATTGTCAATTTGCAAATGATTTACAAACTACACTGTCCACATGGACAGGTTTTCACAATTCTGTTGTTTCCCACATGCCAACTTGAGTGATATTCATTGTCTTGTATTGTATTGTATTTTCCTATGAATGTGAAATGGAATGAATTCGTTTCAAATGATGTTCCACTATTTGGTGCCTTAATGCTTACTTAGCTTTATCAAAGTTATAGTAGTAAACAGGAATTTACAATATGCAAGCTTATATGTATATATATAAGAACATGACAAGTGTTCGTCTGCATGAATGATTCTGAGATGTCAGAATTGTTCAAGTTGTTATTCATCATGAACTGATATGAGTTGGAGGAGCATTGGAAACTTGAGAGCACTGGATAGCTGTCTGATCCTGGTAGGAAGTGTGTCACCAGTGTGTATCCATGACCCCCCGCCCCTACAGGAATCGGACCCAAGACCTTCATGTTCCGTGGCCAGCACGTCATGATTGAGCCACTAGATCGGAATCCGGTCGTGCATATTTCTGACTTCTGTCAGTTCGCGGCAAAAAGTGACAATCACCCTATGTCATGGTTGATTATTCTGTTACGGCCACCAGGTTTGCCTCACCAATCATGATTTCTCATTAGAAGTTCAGGGATCACTTTTCGAAACTAGTCACCGATGAGAACTGGATCTGGTGCAAAGACGAAACAGCTGTCTAGTGCTTTCAGATTTCTAATGTTTCTCCAACTGATGTCAGTTCATGATGAATACGAACTTGAAATTAATAATCCATTTCCTTTTACTCATATAGAATCAGACTGTAATTTCCTCTCGTGTGTTTGTGTTGACAGTAATGTCAGACTATTGGCTAGTGTACGCTGCCCTTGTGGAGCTGGAAATCTAACAGATGCACAATCGAAGGATATTGTCTCTTTTTTAAGCACATAGAGAATGATTCAAGCCTGGCGAAGGTCAAATAAATTTTGCCTGTGAAGAGTATTCGACTAATTCACCTCGAAAGTCGACTGATAATGATGTTCAGTGCTTCATCACCTTAAAATTTTGTATGGATGACAACAGTCTCTTTAGAAACTGGCTCGATTATTTGAGTACCACTAGATCACTGTGAGCACGGCATTCTACCAACAACTCTATTCAACTAACATCATATGTTTATTTGTGTGTGTGTGTGTGTGTGTGTGTGTGTGTGTGTGTGTGTGTGTGTGTGTGTGTGTGTGTGTGAGGATACTGAGGAGTAGTAATAAACAAATTGGTAAAAGCATTTACTTACCTAAACAGATAAAAGATGATGAAGGAAATTTAATAACGAGAGAAGAGAAACAAAGGAAACAATGGGCCGACCACTTCAAGAAGCTCTTTAATCGATCACCGCCGCCACTTGCACTTCGTCCAGAAATACCACCTACAGTCCAGCCGCTGAACTACAAGTGAATATAAATCCTCCAACAAAAATGGAAGTTCTGAACGCCATAAAGCTACTGAAATGTGGGGAAGCAGCAGAACTAGATGGGATCCCGCCAGAAGCACTGAGAACAGACCCAGGGACAACAGTGGACATGCTCATACAACACCACTATTGCAGAAGGTGTGGAAGGAAGAGAAGGTACCTGGCTAGTGATTGGAAGAAGCGTTACCTTGCCAAACTGCCGAAAAAGAAGGGAGACCTTAGTGTTTGCAAGAACTGACGTGGAATCACTCTCCTGTCCACCCAAAATATTAAGCCGTATCATCCTGGAGAGGCTAAAGGATGCGCTAGATTCAAAACTACGACCGGAACAGGCTGGTTGACTGGCTTCAGGAAGTACAAATCATGTGCCGACCGAATTGCAACACTACGCATCATCATAGAACAGAGCATAGAATGGCAGTCAATTCAACTCAACCTCAACTTTATCGACTTTGAGAAGGCCTTTAACAGCGTCAACCGAGAGGTAATTTGGAAACTGCTTCACTACTATGGAATACCACAAACCTCTATCCGCCTCATTCAACAACTATGTGAAGACGCCACATGCCAAGTAATCCACAATGCGAAGTTCAGTGATGCCTTTGAAGTGAAGACAGTGGACAGGAGTGAAACAAGGTTGCCTACTACCCCCCATGATATTCCTGATTGTGGTCGACTGGATCATGCAGCAAACAGTGGGGAGCTGGAGAAGAGGGGAATACGCTGGACCGCGGAAAAGAACCTGGAAGATCTGGATTTCGCCAACGATGACTTGTGTCTGATGTCACACACAGTTGAAGATCTACAGGTGAAAACTAACAAGTTGACAGAAGAGGCAGCGAAGACGGGACTACAGGTGAATATAGAGAAGACAGAAGTGATGAAGATACCGCACCACCACCAACAACAACAGACTTCAATCACCATCAGAGGGAGAAACTTAAAAGAAGTAACCTCCCTCACCTGTCTAGGAAGCACTGTTTCAACTACAGACAGCACAGGCACAGACGAGGATGTCAAAGTCAGAATCGGAAAAGCAAGACAGGCGTTCATTAGCCTGAAACCAGTGTGGAGATCTTCTGCACTGCACTCAGCATGCGGAACAAGATACGGATTTTCAACACCAACGTCAAGTCAGTGCTTCTGTATGGTTGAGAGACTTGGCGCGTCACGAAAGGGATTTCCAATAAACTACAGACATTCATCAACAACTGGCTACTCTGGCTGGCTACTGAAAATCAGATGGCCAGAAATAATAAGCAACAAGGAGCTCTGGGGACGAACCATCGAAGCAAGAAGCTATCGCTGAACGAATATGCAGGAGGAAGTGGAGATGGATTGGGCATACACTGAGAAGGCCAACTGGGGACATTACGCGTCAGGCCCTCAAGTGGAAACCAAATGAGAAACGACGAGTTGGGCGTCCTAGGTGAGGGTGATATGAAGAAGATCGTGCGAGGAGGAAATGAGAGCTTGTGGGCTGTCGTGGAGCCAGGTTGAAGAGATTGCAGAGAAGAGAGTGTAATGGAGACGTGCTACTGAAGCCCTATGTTCCATTAGGAACCCAAGGGACTAATAATAATAATAATAATAACAATAATAATAATAATAATAATAATAATTTACTTACCTCTTAAATAACAGTGTTGTTTTGTGCTTCAGTGTTTGTGACAAGAATATAGCTTTGAACTACCTTATGAATTTATTCATTACACATAGAAGAGTTTACTGTTTGCGTTAAACTCCAGAGATTTCTGATTGCTCATGTGTGTTGTAATTCTGAAGATACTATCGTAAATCAGTCAGTCTAGGGGAGATATTGTAATGAATTCTGTACTGGTAAAATATCCTGGGTAGTGATAGAAGGGATTCGATAACACCTATGTGAAAAAAGTGGGCCAAAGACTAATCCGTCAGCGTCTAAAGATAGTAGAAGTTCGCAGGACTTATCTTCAGATGTTTAACGTTGATTCTGAATGTGCTATCATTCACCTAGTTTATTTATGTCCAGGCAACGGAAGACCTTTTACCTAAGGAATCCGATTCATGCACATATACAGACACAAGTCTAAACGAAATTATTTGACTCTTTATCCAACTTTTGTGATAAAATGATCACTTGAACCTCAGACCACCTAACTGAGAAAACGCAAAGAGTACATCAATACAGGTGGTCTACATTACCACAGTTTTTGTGTTTCATACAGTTAAGGCTTGATAAGTTGTGAAAGGAAACTAGTTTCGAACAGCTATGAAGTATGCAGACTTCATTTCCTATTCAGACACCATTTATAATGGTCTATCAATTGGTATCGAAATGTCTCCTCCATTTCGAGTTACACAATGATGGCATCATAGCTAGAACAATATCAAATGAAAATGATTTTAACTAAAGGGAAAAACTTCAAGTTGGTACTGACGATGGAGTGACATCAGCTGAAGAACCGTTGGAAACCTAGGAACAATGGGTAGGTGTTTCGTCCCAGCATGGGACTCCTTGGCCATTCAGACCCACGACTTCATCAAAGATGGAATTCACAACCTTCTCGTTTCGCTGTGTCCACATTTCCCCACTCCTGTCAATTTGCTAAGTAGTACGATATTCCCTTAATTCCACGGTTGAGTATTTGTCCTCTCGTTCGACTTGGTCTATCCCACCAGTCACCATTTCTCATAGGAAATTCAGAATATGTCATCTGAAGCAAGTCATTTACTAATGAGCACTGGGTCACATTTAGAGGTTTGTGGAGACTTATTGATTCAACACTGACTTCCATCACAGTGACTGAATGGTAGCCTTCTCACTGTGAAACCTGAAGGTTCGGGGTTCGATCCCTGGTGGGGTCATAGATGTACACTGTTAAATCCCAGACCAGGGGGAAACAGCCATCTATAGCTTTTAGGTTTTCAATAGTTCTCCAGTTCATCTCGGTTCCCGATGAATACTAACTTGAAATCAATAAATTAATTCTCACAAACGTCCAAATAAACCAAGACATTAAATTTTGCATTTTGCTTCTCATCTCCCTGCCATACTTTCTTTCTGTCCTGTTTACAGAAGCTAATACAGATGCACAAGAGATGTTGAAACAAGCAAATTGTCTACTACGACAACGTTACCTAGCCCATAATGTGACAGTACAACTAGAGAATTATGTTGATGAAATGGCTGATTGTCATCAGTGCAAAGAACCTTACAAGTGATCAGTTTAATGGAGGATTAAAAAGGAATACAACTATCCGCTTTCAATGTGCTTTTCTTTAATTCATCTTTACTTGTTAAAATATTCTTCTTTTCTATAAAGTTCGATGGTTTGTGGTATACTTTAATGCTTTGTTCTACCGTCGCAATACTATATACTAATTACACTTACTACAATAATACTATTATGCCAAGAATACAAGTATGTCAAACATCTACAAATCTAATCTATCTAGTCAGCAAAATGTATTTCTATCATTTCCGTAACAGATGATAAACATGATATTATCATTTTTTTTAAATGACTCAATGTCATAGAAACACCGGTAATTTTCAGTAAATCAGATAATCTACTCATAAGTAAAATTGAAAAGTTTGAAACTGTTCTAATAAACTCGTCAGAATTAGACAGGTTTGAAGATATTTTGAATTTGCCAATCTCTTGAACAACTTTAACCTAACTGTTTTTGTTGCCAAAAGGAAAATTTTCAGCGAAATATATACATAAAAATGAAATAAAATAACTTATAAAAAACACGATTGAAGCCTTTAAAAGATCTTTCCTGCTCCACTTTACAACCCTTCTATAATGATATCATAAATTTACACAACTACTTAAGCATCTTTCACATTTTATTTAAGTCAGTAGTCAACAAACATGGTTTTTTTAATGAAAAAAAAAAATCGAAACACTTTCTTTAAACAGTAGTATGTTATTGTTGTTGTTGTGTTGAAATCTTTCACAGTTGAATCATTTTCAGCATGTTATTTGATAAAGATAAACTTATTGATTAATTTGACTGATTATGTATACATTTATTGATAAATTGTGAATTTTACATGTCCATTTAAGATATATTTGCTTATCCGAGCTAATTGTGTTGATTGAACAGATGCTCTTGTTGATGTTTCAAGGTCTTGCATTTACTCCATTATATAATTTAGTAAATATTCGCTTTGATAAAATCATATATAATGTGACTTCAACTCAATCATATTATTATTATGTTCAATGGTAGTAAATAAAGTAAGATTTCAACAGATTGTTAAAGGTCATGTTCGATGACACTACTGAGTAAATAGACAATTGTTACGGGCGTATTTAACTCGATACTCCAGTAATAATAATAGTAATTTTACTTCAGATCATATCTTTAAGTACAGTTTGGAATTCTCAGTGTGATATATCAGTAAATTTACTTCGTGTACAACACTTCCAAATAAAAAAACTCCACGGGCACGTATATAATGTTAATGATAACAGTATGATAGACAGAAAGGCATATCAACCAGCAGTTTTCAGGTGATCGTCTACTTTGTATGTTATTACACGTGGGTCGGATCGAAAAGTGATAAGTAGCGACAAAAGGCAGCCAATAGGGGAGTGAGTTTTTTCAAGTCATGATCAGATCACCTTCAGGTCATGATTTATGCATGCGCTGACATGAGAACCTGATTGGAGAAATTCGACCTCGCACTAGAAATCTGATTGGTTCGTTTATGGCTTCACTTTCTGACAGTTTCGTAAATACATATATGTCATATATCTGTCTAATAAAAGTGGTCTTTGTCCTTGCAGTCACAGGACATCTTTGTCTTCTGATTTTATCGCGGCTCAGTGAAGCAGAAGGTACTGAGCGAGGTCAGTCGTAAAGGTACTCGGTTGAAGTGCCTATTAAGTCTCAGTATCATTATACCACGCACGCAGCCCCATCACGTGGTCACAACAAAAAGCACATTCGAGGTTAGTAGTGGAGGTTCATTCTTCTAGTAGGAAAGTTTGCTCTGTCCAGCTACATGTTTCTGTCATAGTTATATGATGGCACTGTTGTGCTTTTAGTGACAAACTGCTGTTTACTGTGATATTTTTTACTCATAGTCTTGTTGTTAACCCGTTTAACGATAGGTTGAAGACATTTTAAGAGTGTGTGAGAATATGTTTTACCATTTTTTGACATTTGAATAGTTAAAACAAATTAAAAAGGAGCAATTTGATGTAATATATTCTGTGATATATTTTTGGTAGCCTAAAATTTAAGCAGGCCGCAACTTCAAATTTGACAAAAAAGTGATATAACTTTGTAAGAATTTGTTCTGCTTTGTTTTTCTTCAAGGAACCACGAAGTTGTTTAGATGTATGTTAAATGATGAAGAGATAGTGTATGCATAATTTCATCCTTCATGAAAGTGATTATCTACTAGATGGTTGGAGGTAATCCGTGGGAAACTGTATCTCTTGCTTATTGTCACTCATCAGTGGCGTGTATCTGTAGCAACAAGAGAACTGGTGCAGTCAGAGGTCCTACTATTGATTTGTTGTGACTACAGTACTTAGTGGTACTGGTTCGAGTCTCATAGGGATGCCATTCCCCTGGAGGTTGCAGATAAGCCTTACTGACTAGTGCCAACAGGTTTGAAGTCTGAGTCAATAACAATTGAAGACCTCTAAACAACAAATATCAATAAAAATACACCACGGTGGTAAATCTTTCACATCAATCGCCAGATTACGAAATGATCTATAGGATTCAGTCAGTACTGTGGACTAGGCAACATGAAATTGGTTACTAGTGTTCATTGACGAATCAGACTGTCGGTGTCTACGTAACTGTTATCAAGAATTGTTTTTCTATCCAGTAGGAGATTGTTGAAATACATTACTTGCCACTAATGACCGGAATCTACCGTAGGTATCCATCAGGAATCACATTTAATTTCATATCCTAAATCATACTGTGATATAATCGAAAAGTCATAAACATACAACGCTAAATAATGTTATTTGTTACTAGGGCGAAAAAACATCACAATTAGTTTCTCTTAAAAAATCATCGTGCTAGAAAACAAAGAATCTTGATACTGATAAAGACGCCAACCACAAGAAGATTGACTACCTGAGACAATTTACCATCAGCAGTCAACCCTTTATTGAAAAGTCGTACAGTACAATTCGTTCACTTGAAGAAATTTTGAATACGGCAACAGTGAACAGTTTTGGAGTATAAAATAACATAGTTCTCTCATGGATATATTTATCATTTGTTAAAACCTTAAATTACTACAAACATTATTTAAATATTGAAATACACGACGTATTTTAAGTGTAAACTGCTACATGATGACTACCAGAGGAATCCATGACTCATGTTTTCTCCTATATGGGATTCGTCAGTCGGATGTATCTGGATCCTTGTCAGTGATAGTGTCTGCAATAAAACTAGGCACACATTAATCAATAGTTTAAAGGTGTTGAAGTCAGGTACCCACAATTTGATGATAATAAATAGTACAAGAGGGAGGGGTTTTAAGAGACAGGTGGGAAACAAGAATTACGTATTCAATTATGTAGACCAATGGCAATCTATGCTTCATCGTATTGATAATTCCAGATTTCTAAAGGAAAATCTACAGTCGAATGAACAGCAACTTTAAGTGATCAGAGAGTTGATAAACAAATGACGAATTAATTCAGTACATGGTTAATTGAAAAACATTCAAATAATCATAATCGAAAATTACAAGTAGTAGAGAAATATATGATGTAACCAAAGTAACATTGAATTGTCAGTGATAAGAAAAACTAACCAAACTCTTTTTTGATATATGATGGTCAGATGTAAATTATCTGATTCCAAGGACTTGAAGAAAGTATACCAAAACTCACCAATTCTCATTAATTTATTACCATAAAGGCTTTTAAGATATCAGTATACTATACAGGATCTATCAGGTGTTTGACATATACGTATAGAAACTTTATTCGCTTCAAAACTTAGATTTCTCGGGATTTGTTCACAAAATTGCTTAAATACGCTACTCTCAGACTTTCCTACCTACTTGCCTTTATAAATAAATGTGAATTGGTAAAGGCAGTTAAAGATGTAAGAGTAAAACTTTTGCACTGCGTTGCAATGTAATTCTATTTCAGTTCATTTAACAAGATGTATCACACAATGAACTAACAGTGTTGTTTACTGGATTACGTTTTGCACACTCTTTATTGTCCATAGTCATATCAAGATAACTACACAAGTTTAAGATACCCCATACATAGGCCTAATTTCCTCGTCCCTTTCTCATGACTTGGATAGTAAGATTTTCCATATATATGAGGAACAGATGCTCAGTCATTCCTGTTGCTGCATGTATGAGGTGTTGTTTGGTTCGATAAACAAAGATTCAGTGGTTATCAATCTCTCCCTCCATCCACCCTGTTATGTTAGTTTTAAGGATTTTCAGCCTGTCCTATCATGTTATGTGGTTCTGTATAGTCTCATGATTAGCTATGGCTGGGCTTCTTTTTAAATTTCCTACCTTATTAGAATCCACCGATTTTCACCTAGTTAGGTTTCTTTGCTCCGATAGCCTAGTTGACAAACCCTGATCTACCACTTTAACGTATGTACATGAACTCGCAACCGTTCCAAGGGATTTGGTAAACTAAATTATTCTGCTTAATTGGATCGATAGGATCTTTTAACCTACAAAGCTTATTTCGAAGGGAGTTTGTGCGTTTAAATGTCACTGGTTCCAGTCAGCCTTATCAAGAATCCTAACTAGTGTTTCTGAGGTACCTCCCTTGGTATGCTAATATTGTGGAGATTTTGAATTCTCTCTTCACAGTATTGCCACTACTATTATTAACATTATTATCCCCACTATTATTACTGTTATTGTTGGTAGTAGTTACCACTATTAGTAAATGTGCTACCAGTTAGTTTGAGAGGATAATTGTTGATGAGTAAAGGTGTCTTTAATGTATCTGGTTTCTTGTCTTAGATCTTCTGTTTTACTAGTAAGATTTTTAGCCGAGTTACTTAGACGTTTCACTAAGCCAACCTTAACTAACATAGGGTGAGACAATATGAAGTCTAAATAACTACTTTGAATGTGAAGGTTTTCTGTGGACACTAGTGTCTAAACTTCCATCTTGTTTCCGTTTTATTCGGCAATCCAACATCGCTAATTCCCCTTCACTATTAGTAGGTGAATTGGATTACGTTGACTACTGAATTGATAAGTATGAAGAAACTATCTATGTACTCCAATTTCACCATTTTAAACATATTGACTACATATCGAAACAATATTTTTGCCGCCTGACTAATTTTTTCTACATCTATCCGTTCCCAACTATCTATAAATATGTCAGCCACGGACAGGGGGGATATTGTTGATTCCATGGTGATTCTTTCTGTTTATTTGTATATTTTATTCTGAAACCTAAATACTATGGAAGTTAAGCATAAATGTACTCCTAGCACCATATCATCTACTGTTACCTTAGCTAGTAGTGTAAACTCATGGTGGGATGGGACGGTGAAAATCTTTAAAACTAACATAACAGGGTGGAGGGAGGGAGAGATTGATAACCACTGAATCTTTGTTTATCGAACCAAACAACACCTCATACATGCAGCAACAGGAATGACTGAGCATCTGTTCCTCATATATATGGAAAATCTTACTATCCAAGTCATGAGAAAGGGACGAGGAAATTAGGCCTATGTATGGGGTATCTTAAACTTGTGTAGTTATCTTGATATGACTATGGACAATAAAGAGTGTGCAAAACGTAATCCAGTAAACAACACTGTTAGTTCATTGTGTGATGGCGTATCTAATAAATCAATAAAAATGAAATTACAGTCAAGCAGGATATTAGTATGCAGGTCGTAGTTCTACAAACTAATATCAGTTTAGAAAAAAGGGGCTTCCTCTTCCCAATTTACTCTTTAACCATCTCTCTTTTCTTTCTGATATCTCTTCTGTGTTAAATGCCAGTGGAATATGAACCAATTCCTTTTCTACAGTCGAACGTTTAAGTTTTTCAGCATACTCTTCGTACTTTAGAACAGACTGCTTATTGGTATCCATTCTCCCTAAGAATCGTCTCGACTTATCCTTCGAGCATAGTTCTCTTACTCGGTTGAAAAGTGTCGTTGTAAGACGAAAGCTATGATAGTTGAAGTACTCACCTGTCTATGCATCTTTCTTCTAAATAATCCAGGAAGGTGACTCTGTTTTCATATCAAGATGAGTTTCTTTGAGATATCAAAACAATCCGGATGAATGATTCATTGAGTGATAAACAACAGTAGTATCATCGACATACCTTCTACAATAATATGCTATTCCCTTGATAACCGAATCGAGTCGTGTTTATTCTATTCTAAATAAGACATGAAGACATCAATTAGGAGCTCTAGGAGTATTGAAATTTCTGCTCCTTCAGTTTGTAGACGGTCGGTAAACTGGAACTGTAATTGTTCAAAGTGTGCTCTTGGCACTGGGAACGCTTTACTCTGCTGACAGATTATGTCGATGGTTCTATGTGTTTGTGAATAACCAAGAGAAACTATTACTAATGTTCTCCTTATACTGATAATTGGATTTTACTTTAGTTTCATTATGTTTTCATCGGTATTTAGTGAGTTTCGAGCACAGTTGTTTGTATGTGTTTCATAATTTTATTCGTGCACTTATGCGCAATTCGTCGACTGTTCAGCAGTTTCCATCGTTTGAAATCGATGTTCATTAAACAGTATAAATTGTTTCAAAATGTTATTCATCGTAGACAGACATCAGTGGAAGGAACAAAGGAAACCTGATAGCACTGGACAGCTGTTTCTTCCTAGTATGGGACTCCTCAGCAGTGCCCACCCACAACCCCGCCAGGGATCGAACCCGCGACCTATAAATTTTTCTTACAAGTTTAGAATTATGACAATAAATAGATAAAATCGATTCCATTAAGTTTCAATCAATTAGAAACCAGTGGCGCAGATCACATGCTGATTTTCACTCATCGGGAAGGTGTATTTGCTGCAACCATCAGGAAACTGGTGTTCGCCCAGCGATATGAACTTGCTTCAGTCAGTGAACTGCTGAGGCCATGACTGACATCTTATACAAGTGGATCAGGTGTATGAAGTAGTCATCTGTGGGCAACTCAAGCGCCTATCTGGGCCATCAGAGCTCCTTAACCTCTTTTATGAGCATACTCTACCATTATATTATCCAGCTCATTCTTGCCAAAGTGATTTCAATCAAATTGGTCAGTTTCTTTTTTGTGCTGCATGCTACATAATCTCTTAGTCAGTATTTCCAAATGTCTTTCTCCCATTATCATTATTATTATTATTACTTTCCTTTGAGTTCCTAGTAGCACGTCTCCAGTGCACTCTATTCCCTGCAGTCTTTTCAACCCGGCTCCACGACTCTCCAGAAGCTTTCATTTCTTCCTCACATGATCTCCATGTCATCATCGGCTAGGACGCCCAACTCATCGTTTCCCATTTCAGTTCCACTCGAGGGCATGCGCCTGGAGCATGATGTTCAAAAACCTTCTTCTCAGTGTATGTCCGACTCAATCCATCTTCACTTTCTTCTGTACATTTGTTGAGCGATAGGTTGTTGGTTGGTTCATTACCAGCCAGCCAGTGTTCCTTGTTGCTTATTCTTCCTTGCCATCTGATCTGATCTTCAGTATCGAGCGTAGGTGGTAGGCGTTGATATATGTCTGTAGTTTGTTGGAAATGCTTTTCTTAAGGCACCAAATCTCTCAACCATCCTATGGAAGCACTGACTGACTTGACTGAATTAGGGTTGAAAATCCTGATCTTTTTCTTTATGCTGAATGCAGTGGAGCGCATTAGATCTCCATATTGATCTCAGACTAATGAATACCTGGCAGTGGTGTGATAACAGATTGTTGTGATGTCACCAACATATATACATCCACATCCACAACAAGGACAGATTCTCATGAACAAACCTACAGCGCCTATTCAACAAACAAACGTTTTAATGTGAAAAGAAATTTGATTTCAAGTTTTACCAATACCCGAAACAAACAAAAAGGATGGTTCATTGGGAAGGATTTCCAAATTGTATGGTCTACGTTGACACATTTCTCACAGCTGAGCAGTTTTTCAGCTCCCCAACAATGATGTCAACGTGGTTTCCATTGGAAACTATTCAGCCAAGATCATAAAGAGTGATCGCTGGTGCAAAAGTCTCATGAACTAGCGAAAGGTACTAATAGTGAAGGGCTTGTGTGGTTACAAACCACTCACCCAGGCTGATCTGTAGATTTTGTCAGCCAGCGATCAGAGTGATCTAAACACTGGATGGCCGTTGCGTTCGTTTGAGGCTGAACCAGCCCACAACAAGCAATATACCTAGACAAATCAACCTCACACAGATGAATTAATTCAGATCACCTGAGATCTGTGAGCTGAATTTGTCTGGATACATTCCTGAGGAGCTGGCTGGGTCCCACACAAACGAAACGACCCTCGAGTGTTTAGATCACTCCGATCTTGCTGGCAAAACTCTAAGATTAACCCGATTATTTTCAACTACTTAAATTAGTGAGTAGTAGTATCACTGGAACAAGCAATTTTCTGGTACAAGGACAAAATCCACATGAATTTCACCCCAACAGTGCAATAAATTGAATGGTGAAACCGTAATTTAGCTGAGAAGCGCAACTTTTTTTGTAAAGAATGTATTGTATCAAATCAAAAATGAAAAATGACAAAGTGTTACACACATGTCCATACCATGTTACCTTATGAAATAACCGCATTCAGTAAAAAAACATGGAAAAAACACAGAATGAAGACAAAAACCAAAAGAAAATGAAAAGCTTCCCAAGAATAATGTTCCCTAAACATATATCATTGTCCGGCACTCAGAGCTGTAAGATATACAGAAATGATGATTATGATGACACCAGCTTTGCTTGACACCCCCATCCCTGCCGCCCTATATACTCATTTTCCCCACCTCGAGCACCAGTATTACGCATTCTTTTAGACTCGGATAAAAACGAATCAACAAATTGGTCACAGTATTTCTATATCTGATCGACATCTTTGTCGAAGATAATTACGGCTGTGCGAAAGTTGATTAACGCGTAATTCACGTTGATCAGCTTCTGTGTCGCCTGGAAATGCATAAAAAGCTGGAAATACATGCAGTTTATGCAGTTTCGGTAATCGTGTTATTCTGTATAATATTCTGTGTATTTGAGACCTTGCCGGTGGAATGAATGACTGAATGCATAGAACACGTAGTGTACAGGTTTTAGCCATCCATTTATTATCAACATTGTCTGGATTTCCATCATCTTGTTCATCGTTTTCATTCAGGTTCTAAAATTTTGAATGTATACAAAATGGTTTAAAACTTTGATGTTGCTAGTTTAGCTACTTAAAACTATTCAAGTAGTCAATGAAATATCTAGAAATTGTGTGAGATACAACCTGATTCATTTTTCTTGTCCATGGAAAACAAGTAACTAAAACTTGGTTAAACTACAGATTTGATGAAAACATCGTGAGAAATATAATTTCCGTCATAGTAGTTGTGCTAAACCTGACCGGCTTTAGTGTGTAAATAGCCTGTTATTCTGTTCTCGCAAACTCCAAATCCATTGGTCTTATCTAAAAAAAAGCTGCTGTTTGTAATCTTTGGATGGGAAACATACCTATATATATGTAGGTTATGCAGATAGTAATTATTGATACTGACTAGTAGTAAATCTAGAATACGAATTTCTCCTTATTTGGAACTCGTTAACTGGACCTACGTGTCTCATAGTTGATGTAGTATTATTCCCATTAAAACTCGACCTCAGGGCCGGCAGTTTCAAACACCAGAGAGTAGCCCACTAGGCCAGTGAGACACGTTGGCAGCCGGTCCTGGGTTCAAGTCTAAGCGGAAACCACATCACACTGGAAGGGAGGTAAGTACATCCAACTGACGAGTGAGTCCGAAATAGGACAAAACGCACACTGTGTATTCCACTGCAAGTTACTATCAATCATTAATATCAAGCTGAAATTACCGGCAATACCATGCCATCCACACAGGAGCTACTGGAAGTAACCAACTTCATGTTATCTAACTCGAAGTGTTGATCAAATTTATACCAGTCAATTTATAATGGGACCATCAAGTTAGCAAGTTCACAATAATGGTCCACTTTGACTGATGTTAGTTGGTTGTAGGCAATCACCAATAAGTTCACCTTGATCTAGGTTTCAGAATTTTTGGTTCTCGTCAGCAAGATATATCTGCAACACCAGTCAAACTGATTAGCTCTGTCATACACTGCTGCAGACAGAGCAGTTCACGCCATGATTGATCTCCGATAACGGAGTAGGTTAGGTATATTGATTAGTCATTGGGGTGTAACCATTTCAAGTTGTCTAGTCATGAAGGCAGATCTAATCCTACCCATCATCTGTATATGTGTGCGTATTCGGCATAAAGTTTACAGCTACAGGTAGGAGCTTAGTTTAAACACCTAAATATATCAAGTTATTGTCATGGGTCTATTTTCCGTCCATAATATTCTAGTACTCAACTAAACGTTCTACTCAGTACAACTTCATCTGAAAAGGATAGCCGAATTGTTATCACTTAAGCAGGTTCTCCCTTTGAGCACACTAACATATTTCACTAGTAATTTTTCTTAGCAAGAAACCAGCTAGAAGCTGAATCTGTGGTATTCCTCTGTAACGAATCGATTACAAGCTCTTTTCAGTGTTACTTACCTGGAATTTACTGTGTCAATTTTGACAACCAAACACAGTTCGCCTTCAAAGATCAAAAAACAATAAGCAAGTGGTGGCTCTCTTGCTCCAGTAGTCTGATAGATAACCCTTTGGCGATCAGCACCGGGTTTGAGTCTTGGTCGGAAAAACATCATTCACTGAGGGTTCACATGCACCTAGTTGATGAGTCCCAAATAGGACGAAACACATGTCTTCGATTCGACTGCTAGCCACTAAGTAGACTGGAAAATAATAAATATACTTAAAAAGACTACAGTAAAGATTAAGTGGCTAGGTGACTTCACATTGGCTTCTTGGCGGATAAGACGCACAACTGAAATTATCCTAACCATCTTTAGATCTAGTGATGGGAACTGAACCGCTTCTCCCCCCCCCGCCCCCCCCTCCAACCCTAGCGGCCTTCCAACTAGGATGAAAACGGCTAGGAAAATTTTCTCATTTCTCAAAACTCAACATTTGATCGTTACTTATGATGAAGACATTTTCAACAAAACAAATAAATGAGGCAAAAACAGAATAAACCTCGTGTTTTACTCTTACCTGTGATGGATCCATTCCAGCCACAAGACTCAGCAAATCAATCAATCTATCAGTTGATAAACACGTATAAGCAATTGATAGACAAACTAAACGACCTCTTGGTTTCAGACAAACATTTTGTACAAGTTCATAGAGAGTTTCTTCGGGTACAACAGATAAATTGTTTCGAGAGAGATTCAATTCATATAAACCATGCAATGGACGCCATTGATAAACCAAAAAGTGAATATCCTCTGATGCTAGACAGCAGTCCTAGAAAAGTTACGCAATAAGACAAAAAAGATTAAGCAAGTGAAACCCTTTCAAAGACTTCCAGGTAAGTTGAAAAAACGGTCTACGAGAAGTCCGTGGAGAAAGACTGGTGCATATCTGTGATATTCCGAATATGAAATGGATTTTCTCATACGTTTGTCATAGCTGACACTACTTATAGTGGTCCAAAACAAGACTTGATAACAATCGAGAAGAAACCTTTGTTTCCGCGATTACAACTCAAGGGAGACACTCCAACTGACATCTTACCACAACACCTAGTTAGAGGAGTCAATAGACAATTATATAGAGGTCATCTTGGCCTCTCTTTCAATGGTTGGGCAACGCTCATTCCAAGACTAAAGGATAGCTTAACTATCTTAGCTCCTCATCTTGCATTTTATAGTTTCTGTTGAACAAGTTACGTGGGGTGAACGACTAAGTAGGTGTATCTCTGAATACGTGACCGTTTACCTACTTGGTCTGGAAAAAGTGAGGCGAAACTGATGAAAAGTGCCGTCATAGAGCACCATATAAACACAGGACATCACACAGATGCACTAATAAAGCTTTCAATATCGTTCATCGTGTTCCGGAAACAATACCACGTGTAGCTCACCGACATCTACTCAAGCAGAGCTGATATTGTAGGAGTAGGATTGATAAAACCTGAACTTTTCATTGAGGAGGAATATGCTCAAGCGTTATTCCTTCGTTGGTTTTCAACAAACTAAAGGTCACTCCTGTTTCTCAGATTGGTTGTCTTTTCTTTGACCATCGCATTCTCCATCTATACACAAGCCATTCTAATACTCACAAGTTAAAAAATACTGGAAAAAGATTTCCCAGCAGTTCCTTATTCACATCCCACTGTGGAAAATGTATTTGCCTCGACGTTGGCCTATTTTTATCCGATTCAATTCCATTGAATAACTGTAAAATGTGATGACAGCCTATTTAGAAAGAATACTCTTCGTTCATGTATGTAAATCATTAGCTGAGGAGGAATACAATATACTACTGGAAAATATGAGTAGTTAGATGTCAAAAATACCTAATATTACTTTAGATGTTCGACCAACGTTGCCTTGGTAGCATAGGTCGTGTATCGTGATGCCACTATGTCAGTAATGTGGAAGTCAGACGGAGGTTTAGGCACATGGAAGATTGTGAACTTTCATCGACTCAGCTGACTGGGGTATGTGTTATGCATGCGTACCCACCATCTGCTCTCTTACACAATGTCAGTCAAAGTAGGCTCAAGTCAGAGAAACCTCACGGGAGGTTGAATTAAAGCATGGTATTAGTCTATAAAGTCTCCGACTGTTGGTATGAGGTATTTTGGGAAATGTCGGCTTTCAATTTAGGGTCCACTTGACAACCAGAATCGGCGGTTAGAAACTCCAGAAGATATGGCTATAAATCGATCTCAGTGGCGCAGATGTATCCGCATGTTGTCATTATCATCATCACTTCATCTGTCATATTGAATTTATCCTTCCCTCATCTGTCTTTCCTCTTGATACGTTCTACTTTGACATACTGTTGTGGGGTGTAGCGACTCGGACAGATACGTAGAAATACCATGCCATATGCTGATACTGACCGACTAACTGGAAGACAGTGGTACTTTTAGTATGCCATAATACAGAATACTGACCTGGGATAGTATAAAAATGCATCAAAATGCTATGAAACACCCACTGCTAGTAGTAGCTCCTAAGGATGAACCTATATCGTAGTGATCTTATGGACCAACGAGAAGTTGTTGATAACTAGGAGGAATGTAGGTTTTGGTACGAACCTCAAATAGATTTCAAACAGCACGTCATTTGTGATCCGTAAATCATTTTTAGTTGGTTGTCCAGTACTACTACCCCGTTTGCCCTTGTCACTTACACTTTAAGGGCCAACAGTGACAAAAGTATGTTTGTTATTAACTAGCCTCTGTCGAAAAAGAAACCCACTGAAACTTTGGCAAATGCCCACTCTCTTCAAGCGCTGTGTTGTGAAATGACAGCAGAAGGAAATATGGACCACTGGATCCCAGTCAAGTGGTTGAATGACAACGTGCTGGTCATGGAACCTTAAAGGGTCCTGGGTTCGATCCATGGTGGGGCTATGGGTGCTCACTGCTGAGGAGTCCCATAATAGATGAAACGGTTGGTTGGTGCTTCTAGGCTTTTAAATATCCCTTCAACTAATTTCAGTCCATGATGAATATCAACCAACCAGGTAACTTGGAAAGTAATAATATTTCTTACTTGTAAATTCAAATATTCCAGAGGTTGACTTAATCCGCCGAGTAAAGTTTTCAACTGACCAGTTAAATGACATCTAGCTAATCCAAGTCTTTGTAAATATCTCAGTGATACTAATGCTCTGTTCAATGATCGACACGCGGCAACAGTTGAGGTGAAAGCAGGTGTTGCAAAATTTTGTATCATCTGACCAGTAATTGTAGTAGAAGAACTGTTGGTATTGTTGTTAACACTGGATGATGACGATGATGAAGTTGAATTCGACTGAGGAGAAGGTGAATTGGAAGAGGACTGTACATTTCCCATATTGGCCACTGTGAAATTTATTGATGTTGCTGCCGTGGTTGCACCCGGTGTTGTTGATACAACATCAGGTGGTGGGGGTATACACGATGGCAGTGAACATGCTCTTAGATTACGCAAACTGATTAACCAACCAACAGCAGATGGTAGGACAACAGCTATGCTACTTCCTATTGTAGGATCTTCCAGTTCAAACTGCGTAATTGACTAAAGCAAAAAGACAAAATATTGTAACAAGATATAAATAAACAAATCAACCAGTTCTGGTTGATAGGAAGGGGTCAGAAACTCTGACACCCCCCCCCCCTTTAAAAAACAGAACATTGATAAATCAGTCTCTTGACCGGCAATCAACACCACCATGTTTGATGCATTTTGGCCTTCCGTTGTAATTGCCAGTAATTTTTCTGGTCAATGTCAACAGCTGATGAGGGCCAAGTCGGAATTGACCGAAACTATCAACCCCTATATCCATCACATTTCATCGAAAATAAAACCATCAATTTGTTATTTTTTACCCCATAAAGATAATTCGGATTAAAACAGTTTCATAGACCTAGATGGTATCAAGAGTTAGATACCATTTGTGAAGATGTCAGCTAGAAGCAAGTGAGATAGTCGGTCATCTAATGATAAATCACCTTAATCATACTAGTAACTACTGATCTTACTCAGTAGTATTTATCGTTGACTTATAGTGAGTGATTGCAGCCTGATAAACACCACTCACTCATATCGTACAAACAGATGAATGAAACCAGTTAAGTAAGTACAACTATCGAGAATATCATACTTTTATCGAAAAAACTTTAGATTTGTATGACTGATAAAAAGTTTCTTCGTTTAATGGGGTTCTATCAGTAATCAGGACTAGAAATTGGTTACTATCCACTGAGAAATTACTGGATTTAATCCATTTCTGTAGTAGGCCGATCACAGCCCAAGTGGCTCAGTGATAATGTCTCTAACTGGAGGACTAGGTGATACGGATTCGCCTCTTAGGTGAGATAACAGTTTAGTGAAGGTTACAGATACGCAGTGCTGACGAGTGCCAACAACCACAAAACCTACAATGAAGGAGGGTTGCCCATCAATCACCACCAGTGATCGTTGATCGCTGTCATAAAATGTCACCTCATCAATCAACTTCACGTCAATGAACTTAATATTTTTTTAGTTGGTTGCAGGCCATCGGCAGGAAGCCTTATTTCAACTAGGTGTCGTACTTGCTGGCACTCGTCAGCCACGCGTATCTGCAACCCAGATCAAACTTATGTCCCCATCCTTCAACACAGGGTTTCTGCCCAAAGTCACCTAGTACTTCAGTCAAAAATGTTACCACTGAGTTATTTAAGCCGCGACTGACATCTGGGTAGAAATGATCGCAATGTGATCACCAAGCTAGGAGATTTGCCACCGCAATGCAACTTAGTGGATGTTAATTGGTTGTAGGTAATCGACAGGAAGCTCTACTTTAACGAGGTTTCGTAGTTGCTGGTACTCGTCAACAAGGCGTTTCTGCAACTTAACACTTGTCTAACTCATATGTACGTGAATACTGGCCTATTTCTCATCTTCTCTATGTGAACCATCATAACAAGAATCCTAGTAACTACACAGATGACGAATAATGAAGCTGCTTATTGGTGAAATATGATAACCTGACACTAAACATATGTCATGGAAGCAATTTTTGAATTTTTATGTTCTAGGCGGGTTGGTTTTCAGTTGTTGTTGCTACTTTTTATTTATTTTCGCTATTTCCTTCCTAAGTTTTTAAAAATACTTATCCTTCAAAACCTCTACAAGACGGATGATGACTCTATTTGCTTTTCCCAGAAAGATAGTGCTATATACTATTTATATCTACTCATTTGAGTAGTACACACCTTATAAATTATCAGTTATGAATTCAACTCTGTATTGTATCTCCATACAAGCGGATTGCTCACACCTAACAACTTTTTCTGCTGTTTTATGTATAAGAAGTACTTCAGTCCATCCTCCTTTAGAATTTCTCTAGGGAAAGAGTTTCCTTCTACTGCCAGTCCTCATCCTATTCTAACACCTTAGATCAATAGACTTTTGACCAGGTTTCTTAACAGCTTAGCTAAAAGGATAATGAATGAACGTATAAAGAAGTTTGAGTCACAGCAGGACTCGAACAGGTGACTGCTGGGATGGTACTTAAAAGACTAATCCACAAAAATAAATATTGGGGCCATTAGTGATATTCTAGCTAGTGTTGCTTGATAACAAACCGCACATCCTCGATTCCAATGCTAGTTACCAAGATGAATATAATATCGTGAATATTCAGGAGTATTAAAGCATCCGCATAGCAGTGCACCTATCAACAGAGGTCAAGCAATTCAGCCATGTATAGCAATGGGAATTTGCAAGTATCAAACAACAGTAAATGATCCCCATTACACAAGTGGTGGCTATCGTGCCCCAGTGGCTCAGTGAGTTCCAGTCTCAACAGGAAGAGTATCGCTCACTGGCTCGATTCCACTGCTAGTCACAAAGATGAATGTAAAGTCTAGCAAGTGTACTGATTTCTCAACAGCTTCTTGCTGTTACAAGTATCACTTACAAAAGTGATCAATGAGTAACTTAAGCAGTTAAGAATGAACGAGGAATGTCTACAGACAATGTTAGCAACGTTGTATTGAAATGAATGCGATGTCGCTGAAGTCATAAACAACCTCGTCAGGTGAATTACACCTGAATAGTCAAAATGCTTAGACCGAAACGAGCTGAGTAATGAAGTGTAAGTTATACACCATTGTCTGAAGGCTGATGATACTACTACCTGATTGACCAGTCCTCGGTAAGTGGATTGGGGATCGAACTCATGACTCACTGGTAGAAAGTTAACTGCTCATAACAATGAGCCACAGCTCAACGCTACCTAAACCATCCGAATTCGGTTAGTAAACTATGGTAAATGGGTGTATCATAAATTTCGTGAAAGAATTCCATATACCCTTTGCAAAAAAACTGTTTGGACGAAAACAAATCCATAAAAAGTATTATTTAACGTCTTCATAAATTGTCTATGATCTAAAGCTTAGAATATAATTGTGAATAATGGTCAGACTACTTTTCAAGTGAACATAGATCAACCTCAAAGAGGTCTGCATCACAGATCCAAATCAAACATAGGACAGTTGGAAATCTAGGAGCACTAAGAAGCTACTTCGTCTTATTTCGAAAGTCGAGAGCGATGAGTACGCCACAGCTAAATGGTAATGTCTTAACTATGAGATCTGAATTCCCTGGATTCTTTCCCACTAGAAGAGTCCCAAACTGGGAAGAAATAACTTTTTGGTGTGCTCAGTTTTTCATTGGTTATCTGCTTAACGTTAATCCGCCTAAAACATCCTTTTAAAATCGATCGATTCCCCTAGAAACCTCTTAAGTGAATATGGATTATCCTGGTAATGATTTATCTAGACATATTCAGCATCGTCAAATTAGAACCTAGTTTCAAATAAAATGAAAACTTATTCTGAGGAAGCCAATACAACTCACCAGTGGATCAAATAAACGTATTAAACTATACGGAGGGAAATTAATTTCCGGTAATCGTTGTAGTAATAAACGATTACATGAAAATCGAAATGGTGTCAATGTCTGTAGTGATAAACCGAGAGCAACTTCATCCACTGTCATATTACAATCCAAATGGATGGTAACTGTTTCTAAAAAGAAAAAAGGGTGAACAGATCAATGAAGTAAAATTCTTCCTACACAGCTACATCTTTTCATGATGCAAATTATTGTTGATAATCAAATGCACAATTTTAAGACAAAGATGTATTACTCACGTATTGGTTAAAATACAACATTTAACTGTCCTTGAAGCAACCAACCAAGGCAAAAATTTGACTTGATTAAAAGTATTCGAGAAGCTACACTAACGACTGACAAATTCGAGCTTCAAAATGAAATTCAGCATCGGAGTAGCAAAATAGGACGTCAAGTACAGAATAATAGCTTTCACAGTGTGAAGTGTGATAGTTACGTCATAAAGTAGCAAATAAACAGCTAGTAAGTTGTTTATTTTTATCTTGCTCCTTTATTTCTTTATCGGTACTCTTAGCTTGCTTGAAATTTAATAGTAGGATTTAAGATATCCGGATATATAGTACCCTATAACATATACAACATCATGAATATCCGGCATTATAGGGGCGTGCGCGAAGAAGCCCATCTGTCAACAGAGGACAACCGACTCGGCCATGTATAGCGGCGAAAAAATACAAGTATCATTACAGTGATGTGTCATAACTGGGAAGCGCGGGAGTGACGCAGTTATTCAGGATACAACAAATAATACTGACCACCCATATTATAGATATGCATTTTAGGATTATTCTCTGGCTCGAAACTAGTATCAGAAAATAGAATCTGATGCAGAGTCTTATACACTATACTGGCAAGATACGCACAGCAATGGTATTCACACTGATGCACATGGTAACAAGTTAGCGTGCAAAATCTGATGTTAGGCATGAGTAATACACTCTTCCGGTAAAGTATGCTTTCTCAATATTCAGGCGAGAAGGCAACATTCGAAACTGCATATGATTTCTGCAGACAACAACACAGAAATACCTTACTTATATTTGTGCATCTCGGTGAAATAAAACGAGAATGGAGAATTGTTTGCAGACTTCTGTGCATTCAACGATTTGGTGATTGGCGGAACTGTATTCACGCACAAGGATATCCACAAAGCGACATAGATTTCACTAGATCGACACACTACACTAAAAATCAGATCAACTTCATCTTAATCTCAAGAAAGTGGAGATGCAGCCTACTTGACACAAGATCAGATCAAGAAGAGGAGCAGATATAGCATCAAACCACTATATAGTGCAAGGAAGCTTCCAAATCAAGTTAAAAGCCTTCAGGAAAGTTGGTGGTAGACCACAGCTACAGTTCAACACCCAGAACAGAAACTGAACTGAAGAAAGAAACAATTAAGAACATCTTCATATCAGCCATCAAGACAAAATAGGAGACATTGAGCAACATCCCTGAAGAAACCTGTGTGGATGAACACTGGAACTCTTTGAAAGAGATGTGGAAAAAAACCTGCATAACCGCATTAGGAAGGAAGAAGAAAGAAGATAAGGAATAGATCTCGACGGACACATGGGAGCTGATAGAGCAGGGAAAGGAAGATGGTGAAGCAGAAGATGAACCAGTGCAAGAACGCCTAACAAAAAGAAGAAATGAGTACAAGGTATAAAACACTACAGTGGACAAAGAAATGAAGAGTTGTGCACGGAAAGACAAAAGATACTTTCACGACACACTGGCAAGTGAAGCAGGACAGGCTGCAGGTGGGGGAGATAAAGACCTGACAACACCATATCAAATGACAAGGTTATTATGTTGGAGTGTAGAGATCAACACAGCACAGATGAAACCAATTAAAGATAGTGAAGGAAAGCTAGTTAACGTCTAAAAGGATAAACGAAGGAAACAATGAACTGACCACTTCAAAAAGCTCTTGAATCGACCACCACCAGCCTAGACACAGAACAATCACTTAATAAAAGCCTTCCGAAAAAAGTAGAAGTGAAGTATTGAATGCCATAAAGTTACTGAAATGCGGGAAAACAGCAGGACTATATGGAATCCCGCCAGAAGCAATGAGAGTGGATGCAGGGACAACAACGGACATGCTCACATCACTATTGCAAAAGGTCTGGAAAGAAGAAAAGGTACCTGCCAACTGATTGGAAGAAGGGCTACCTTGTCAAACTCCCGAAGAAGCGAGACCTAAGTCTTTGCAAGAACCTGTGCGGATTCATGCTCCTGTCCACTGCAAGCAAAATATTAAGCCACATCATCCTGGAGAGACTAAAGGGTGTGCTGGATTCAAAATAAGACCCGAACAGGCTGGTTGGCTGGATTCAGGAAGTACAAATCATGTAAGGATCAAACTGCAATGCCACGATAAGCATCTTCATCTAACAGACTGCAGAATGGCAGTCAACCCTCTACTACAACTTCATCGCCTCTGAAAAGGCCTTCAACAGCGACGACCGACAAGTAATTTGGTAGTTGCTTACACACTACAGAGTGCCATAAACCTTTATCAACCTCATTCAACAATTATATGAAGATGCCATATGCCAAGTGATTCAAGATGGGAAGCTCAGTGATGCCTTTGAAGTGAAGACGGCAGACAAGAGTAAGACAAGGCTATCTACTATCATCCATGATATTTCTGATTGTAGTGAACTGGATCATGCAACAAACAGTGAGGAGCGAGAAGAGGGGGATAAGCTGGCTGGACCGATGAAGAGAACCTAGAAGATTTGTATTTCGCCTATAACTTATGTCTAATGTCACACAAACTTGAAGATCTAAAGGCGAAAACTAACAAGTTGACAGAAGAGGCAGGACAGCGAGGATGGGACTTCAAGTGAACGTAGAGAAGACAAAGGTGGTGAAGATACCCAACCAACAAACCAACTACAACAACAAGCACCAATCACCATCAACGAGAGAAACCTAAAGGAGGTAGCCTGGTTCACCTATCTAGGCGGCTCTGTTTCAACTACAGGCGGCACAGATGAGGACATCAAAACCAGCCAGGACCGAAAAAGTAAGACAGGCGTTCATCAACCTGAAACCAGTGAGGAGATCTTCTGCACTCAGCATAAAGCGTGAACAATATACGGATTTTCAACACCAACGTCAAGTCAGTGTTCCTGTATGGTTCAGAGACTTGGTGCGTTACGAAAGGGATTTCCAACAAACTACAGATACTCATCAACAACTGACTACACTGCTCAGTACTGAAGCTCACATGGCCAGAAATAATCAGCAACAAGAAAATCTGGCAACGAACTAACCAAGAACCTACCACCCAACAAATATGCAGTAGGAAGGAGTGTAGATGGATTGGACATACACTGAGAAGGCCGACCGGGGACATCACGCGCCAAGCACTGGAGTGGAACCCAGATGTGAAACGACGAGTTGGGCGTCCGAGGGTGACATGGAGAAGATCGTGCGAGGAAGAAATGAGAGCTTGTGGGCTGTCGTGGAACCAGGTTCAAAAGTTTGCAGAGAAGAGAGTACACTGGAGACGTGCTACTGAAGCCGTATGTTTCACTAGCAACCCAAGAGAAAAATAATACTAATAATAATAAAGTAGGAGGGCGTCAATCCACAGAAAGCCCACTACCCAGGTGTTGCGTCTTTTGAAGCTCATTCACAAGACATATATATATATTTATGAGGGAAATGGTATTCCTTGGTAGTTCGAACCCGTGCCACTCAGTGTTAAAGTCAGAAGCTTTAACACTCAGCTTTTAAGGCCATGACTGTTCCATTTTAAGACTAGATTAGGCATATAAAATAGTAATTTGAGGGGGGGCAGGTAGATTGATGTAGCTTTCTAGTCAGTCGATTAAAATCTATCGACCAATCTTTTCAACTTAATGACTGAGTGGGTTCGTGTGATCCTATGGTTCACTGCCATTGGTGTTAGATGTTGAAATTTACAGTCGTCAGGAAGCTCTATTTATTCTACGTTTCGTATTTCTTGAGAGGCATATCCGCAAAACTTATCTACAACCATGAGAAGACTAATGCTTCGAAAATACCATGCATCATAGTGTCGCGTCACTCCACTTAGTGTGCACATTGCAAAGAACTTTATGGATAAACTTCACTAAAGGCTATGCACTAAAGACTAGACGTCTATAGGGTTTACCCACAGTCTAGTGTCACTGTGAGAGAAATCGAGGTTCGGAGTCATCTACTCTCACTATCTAACAAAGAGTGTTTTCACTTGACTGTACAATCTTCAAGGGTGGAAATGATTTTCTGATAGCCTGGATTCTGTAAAAGAATTTCCAGAGTGAATGTCTCAAAAATTCTTGTTATTCGCTACATTTACTCGTAATCCTACGACGCAGAAAAGATGAGTTTTAATCACCTGAACTTTCAGTGAATTATTTGCCGCATTATTTTCTTCAAATAGCGGTAAGTTTCATTCTTCATGGAAGAATTATGAAGATGATGTGGTGTGCCAATGAAATAATAACCTCTTGACTTCTAACTACATAGTTTGGAGATTTGAGTGTTGATTGCTTTCAAGATGGTATTCATCACCATGGATTGATACCAGCTGGAGAACCACTACTGAAAACCTGAGAGGACTAGTCAGCTGTACCATCGTGGTCACAGGAATCTTTTTATTGCTCATGCATGACTTCATGGAAGATCAAACCTAGTCTTTAGGGTGCTGCGTTTGATCTCTGTTGATTCTCTAACTGATGTCAGTCAGTCCGTGGTGAGTACCACCTTCTAACTGTGATTTATACTGTTCTCGGTGCTACTGCTAGGGATCCATTTAAGTCGTGTATGTTGAGAGGTCGGGAGAAGTCATACGTGATCGGTCGATATCTGCCCAGTGAAGTGAAGAAGATGACGTGGCCATATCAACAGCAAGACGAGAGAGAAGAAGAAGAAGAGGAAAGGAAACGAATTGTTCAAATGGATATTTTAATGAAAAGCTTACAGTATTTCATCAGTAATGTACAAAGTGTCATAGTAAAAATCTTCCCGCGTTTCATCCTTTGATGTTATATCTCATAGCTTCTTACCTTTTCCTCTGTAAGCATTGGACTAATGAACATGTATCAACTGATTGGTAATATCTTGAAAGCAACTCTATTTTTCACCATGTATATAGGAGTGAATTGTATTCTGTCCAAAAACTAAGGTAACTAACTAAGATTTTTTTTCACATTTATGTTCGATGTTATGTAGGTAATTAATTGTTGTATCTTTTCTCTATGTACTGGTTATAAAATGAAAAAAACTAATATTTTCATGGTACACCAAGCATCGTTTAAAAAACAGCAAAACCTTGGAAAATATTATGGAGTAGGTGCTGCAGGTTTCATGTTAAGCATAAAAAAGTTATCAAGTTATAGAACACGACTTGTAAACTGATTTATGAAACAGTTTTTTTACATTTTTTGTTGTTTTACATTAGTTTGTCTTACATGAGGGAATAGTAGACCACTGGTTGAACGGTAGTGGGTTTAACATTAGAAATGATGATTCTTGGCCCGCTCCCTAGTAGGGTGGTGAGTTTGTAGTGCTGAAGAGTCACGAGCTAGGACGAAACACCAGTGTAATGATTCTCTGACTGACATCATCCACTTGTTATAACTACTTTGAAACCAATGAAAAATACGTACAAACTAACAATCCAATCACTACTCATATTCGTTAGTCATTGGCTTCGCAAAGAAGTTGTAATCTATGCAGTGAGATGGATGCCCACCGATGATGTTGGATGTTCGTTGCACCAAGTTAAGAATTAACAGAATTAGCAAAATGTGGACAGTTGGATTCCAAGATGGTAGCTGAGTCTTCATCTGCCTTCTGTGAGACCAAATGATTCTGTGCTTGGTCCTTTGTGGGATTCTGGATATGTGATGGTGACGAGTAGCATATCAGAATGAGACTGCTGTCCAGTTCCCTTAGATTTTCAATACCGTCACGAATGATGTCAATACTTGATGAAAAGTAGTTTGAAATGAATCAAACCCCATACTAATCACAAATTAAAAACAGATTTTTATGATAACTTCTATGACTATTCTACATTGAGTGATGTTCTTCATGGTACTGTTTGCTGATTTGTCAAACTAGCGGTAAAGATTACCACATATCTGATTCATTTTTATCACAAGACTCCATATCATTAACATTCACCTGATTGTATCAGTGAGTTCATCAATCAACTGAAAACCGGAAGACAACGTGAATCTCAGATAAGTGTTATCATTGGTCGTGAATTGCGTTATTCTGCTTATGGTAACATTATTGTATAACTCGCTGGGTTCAAGAGCTTTCGACTGATTTATGTATGACTCATTATAGTTCGGAAATAATTGCAGTATGCTGAGTGAAGCCAATCCATTCTAGCTTAAATTACCTCATTTTTTTGTGCTTGGAATCGATTGTTTCATCTTTATCACTTATTACGCTGCGTTGTGGTCAGGTGGATGATTCAGTTATGTATATACAGATGAATCAGATCTCCTGAAATACATACAGCCAATAGGCACAAGACTTCGTGTTCTTCAGTAACCATTTAGGAGGTCAGAGCTGGATGGCTCATTGTGTGGGTGGATTGTTTATATGGAATTGGCAAGTATAGTGGAGACCAATCACGCGCTTAACAAAATAACAACCAGACAAAGTTATAGCTACTACAAGCTAAGGCGTACTGAGGCAAGGGCTACTGAAATAATCACAATTCAAAAATGGAAACGGTTTTTAAAAACTAAGCTCCTCACCGATTCAGAGATGATATTCATTGCTTACTAGAGAACATTAGTTAAGGTAAGTAAATGTTGCGGGGCTCTAGTGGGACATCATATCCTTATGGCTTATGGTTAAAACAAGTAATTGATGGCCTGTGTGAATATGCAGTTGTTTGGGAAACAACTACGGACAAATTGATCACTCTGAATAATTGTTCTCTGACAGGCTTTAAAAGAATATCCTCACTGTAATGTCAATACAAAACACTAGTTTATGCGATGATTCGTTCAGCATCATTATGATTCTTCAAAATAAGGAAATGAAAACTTAGCCATAAGTATGCTTTATAAATTAAAGTTAATGGCTGGGTTTATCTCATTCGTGTTATAGTTTAGCGCTTGCACTGAAAGAACATAACCACTAGCTAACCATAGAGCCAAGTTACAAATAATAAGCCTCTTTCAGAATGTAAAAAAACACAATCTACATGAAGAATATTCTTCTCATTAGGTACTCTTATCAGGTTCTATGATTATAAAATGCCGTTGTACAGCTTAAAATCAAGTCAAGTTACAGGCAAATACATTCTGAAAATAGAGTGAGATTTAAGGACTGTTAGGATATCGAGTTAAATTTATCAATATTAAGATGACATACATACAGAGGAATAATATGATGGTAAACGAAAAGACACCGAAGGAAGAAGAAAGGAATGGCCTTCCTTTTACTGAAGGCTAAAAGAGGAACAAAGTTTGAACATGATCTATCTGAATGCAAAGTTCAGGTTGGATGAGTCTTATTGTGACACTCTGAGCTATGTTAAGTGGACTCTTGTGGGCTACACGTGGTATTGTATTTCGGTAGGCCGGAACTTTTCACCACTATCACTTCACCTTTGTTAAACAAGAAAGTAAACATTATCGTATCCAGAGATACACCTGTATCTTATCGTACACTAAATAACTTGTTGCATAGGAACAATTAAATTATACAATACAGGATGAGGAGTTAAGATAGGTAAGCTATCCTTTAGTTTAGCAATGATTATTTCCCGACAACTGAAAGATATGCAAAGATGACCTGAATAAAACGTTCTGTCGACTATTCTATCTAGGCGTTGTGATAGGATGTCGCCTCAAGAATCTTTTTAGAGTTATAATCGCAGAAACAAAGGCTTCTCTCCAATGACGTCAATTCAGGTTTGAGATTACTGTAAGCGACGTTTACTTTGATAAACTTATCCAGATATTCATTTTCAGTTGTAATATCATAGATACACAGCAGTTATTTCTCCATACAGTCCTTGAAATGAATCCATCCAACTCTAAAGCGTAGACATCAAATCACATTAAGTTTTTACCTTAATGGTGTGAAGCTCAGATAGGGTGTATACTGTTCCCTAGACATCGGTTTTCCGCATATACTTCACACGATAGACCCATCTTCTTTTCTGACCAATTAGCATATCAAAAAAATGTGTCCAATCAGAAACACGCGGTAACATTCGAGAAGTGTCCATTCGGTCCCAAGACAAGTGTAAATTAAGCTCCCTATATTTCAGTCATTATATATATATATATATATATCCTTAAAAGAAGCTCAAAATCCCCTGAAAATACTGTCAGCCAATCATTACATGCTGGATTTTTGTAGAAATCCATGTAATCTGATTGGTTAATACAAAGTGATCGATAAAAAGTGGATTTCTGGAAGCGTATAGTAAGAAAACCAAGGCCACCACTAACACATAAACACATCGTTATATTCTGAAAACATTTTAACTTAACGTCTTATCGCTGTCTTGTGTTTTCAAGGTAATGCATAACTATCAATAGTTTACATTCAGATGAGATGTTCAATTACCTCACCAACTAATACTAATGACACTACTGGTTTAATGTGTAATTGAGAATTATTTTATTTTATCAAGTCACTTTTAAAAGAATTAAAATACACTTACCAAACCATTCACCGTGTCCAATATCAGCTTCATGAAAGGCATAAATAGTTGATATTCTTGAAAAATATGCTTCAAGACGTTTTCTTGGTATACCAATGTGTAGACTAGCCATTAAATGTCTACGTACACTTTCTGAATTACGATTCTCCGGCTTCATCCATAGGATTGGTAGACGAGACAGTTCAATACTTACACGACAGTCTATCAAATAGAAGTATATTTTCAGTGATAAATATATGTAGATCAAAGAGTATAATACTACACTTCAATATACAGAGATAAAAGAATAGTTCATGATTCATGATGACTGATTCCAGCCAGTTCACCGAGTCTCTGACCTATGGTTTCCAACAATCATTACAGCTTACTTACTGTTCCTCATGTAGCCTCAAACAAATGATCAGTGCCTTCATAGACTGGTGTTTTGTCTGAGATCGTCATCCCTTAGTTTTCTGTAGTACAGACTTACTTCAAGTAATATTGCATGTAGATGACAATGACGACTTGGCAAGCGTTATACATTTGACACATACACATCAGTTGTTATAGGTATACAACTTCACATATGGTCGAAGTCTAATAGCCTCCGAGACGGAGTGAACTATTAGACAGTATATACGTCCTATGATTACAGTGAGAGGTCTTGCCAGCACTGAAAGTAACCTAGGTTAGGTGATCCCCAAAATGGTTTCTTGTCCTTTCTCAGATCTCGCAGTCAACCAGTCTATAAGCATTTATGAAACTTCCTAAGTTTGTTCGACTACATCACCTCATTGCCTAAAACTGAGATTTCACTAAGTTTCAACCCGGTCTTCAGATCTATGAACACCTCAACACAAACATGGTGAGTCGGTGCTCTCACCAAGCAACGAATATCCAAGTAATGCATTTAGACAGAAATGGATACTCTAGCCAAAGCATTCTGTTAACACCTCCCCCTAAATTGATCAGTGTTATTCCAGAACCCTTCGGAAAGTCAGGTTTCAAAGTATTCACATTGATGCGGTAATCGGTTTATTGGCTGTAATCAAATCCTCATGGGCAGAAATGCATATGATGTCCGTCTCTGAAGTCGACATAACCTTGAAAACTGAATACAGCTTACTCCCACAAAAAAACATTCTTCAAGGAGGCCTGTCCCATGCATCTATAATGCCATCAGATTCATAGAAGTGGTTCCCTTCGGGTTACTGATATACATCCAAGATTAGGGATAACAATACCGTCACTGAGGACAGAGTGTCACTAGCCTTCACAGGGTACAGTACAACCAATCTTTTGGGACTGTTCTCAACAACGGTGACCACTGGGATCAGGAAGCCAGACTCATCTTACCTTGTGATTGCATTGCTGCTAGTGCCCTGGGCAGAATTCTGATGGCTTACAAAACCATCCGTCTTTTAGAAGCTAGTAGCATTGATCTTGTGCATATGGATTTCATTGACTAAAGTTTTCACTAAGTTAAGTTGATGGTGTATAAGGGTCAGGAGAAGGCTTCCTGTTGTACGCAACTAGTTGAACCCGCAATCCCCGGCTTATTTAACATCCATGGTTTTCACGAAACAGCATCGCACAGCAGCCCCATGTTGAGTTTCGTCACTCTGACACGGTATCACTAGCAATGGAAGGGATCTATACTGCATGGACAGTCATAGTAATCACAATAAAAGTGAGTGACGTAACGAGCCTATTCATTTACTTCACCCCGTCACCCAAAACTAGAAATCGACACAGACTAGTACTGTAGCATAGTGATACACTTGAAAAGTGAGAAGCGGAAGCAAAACAGTGCTCACAACATGACTAAAGACATTTAGAAAGGAGTATTATCACTTTAAAAGACTACGACGTTAAAGTGTGTATCGATTTATTCACTTTAAAAAAATAGTTATGAAACATTTTCATCCATTTCGCCTTCAGAGTATTCTGTTTAGCTTACTAAAATAATATAGTCTCAAAGCTGCTATTTTTATTGTAAAACATTCTTTCTCAAGGTGATCATTATCTCTAATCAATGGTCTCTGAACGTGAAGTAGTCAGTCATTCTGTAAATACCAAGACAAATATCTTCTCACTAGTTTGGAATGATGCAGTTTTTGGATTCATATCCCCTGTCATTAATTGTTATATCTTCAGTTAAGACTGCTGATAGCGGTGAAAAAATAAACTTCTGTTTACCGCATATTTGTTGTGTCTCATTCTCATCTCTTTCGATTCGCAACCCTATTCATTTAGACTAGACTTCCAGTATTAGTATACTGTTTCAACTTTGCGTGATGTAGATGGCGAAAGAAATCTTACTCATTCGTGAATTATTTGCCATAGATATGGTGCAGTTTGCTTCGTGACTGAAAGAGTCAAAATGGAACAATCTTGTTCATCGATACTTGTAATTTCCCGTTGCTAAACTGGGTTGAATTGCCTGACCTCCATTGGTGAATGAGCTCGTACACGGATACCTCTATACTAACCAGACATCCATTAGATTATAGTCTACTTGGTGACTAGCAGTGGAATCCAGCCAGTGCATTTCATCCCATTCAGGACCCTTCAGCTAAATGTACCTGCTTCCAGTGAGACCAGAAACCAGTACCCACCTATTCAAGCGCTATGGCATTGTTCACTAGGTCACTGGGATAGGAGGGCCACCTCTTCTGCAACAGTTATTAGTTGAGCAATTTAACATGAAATTATAGTAACAATAAGCATGACTTACCATCTTCAAATCCAGTGAAGTCGACAGATTTAAGCTTACACTTTGGTTGTCTTGTTAGAAAGCCCAGTATAAAAGCATCCAGTAGACTTGGCCCTTTAACTAAGGCATTACGATTACCATTTTCATTCTCTGGACTGACAAGTACAAATGTTGGCTTAGTCATATAATTTGGGATAAGTGGATATTCTTCACTTGGTATTAACTGTTTAACAACCAATTGTTCACACGACCAATTAGCTACTAAACCTGTGATAGCTGCACAATCTCTTTGTAGAATAGCCTCAGAAATAAGATTGATTAATACAGTAACAGGTAGATCATGGTATGTCAACGGAGTTGTATGCACACAGGTGTTGCCAATTTCATTGGTAATTTTATTGTCTGTTTGTGAACTGGTGTATTCTTTTTTTTCCACGATTTTAAACTATCCTTCTTACAGGTGGTTCGACGTGATGATAGACTTACGGATCGTGTTATTGTTGATGATGACGTGGTCGGTGAATAGGAGGATTGGATGGATAATTCATTTAAAGGCATATTCTGTGCAGTATTGGTCTGTAAATCACGGGAACTGAACAGGAAACTGACCATATTACGTAATGATGAACGTCGAGGAGGTATCATACAAGGCCAATCACGAATTAAACGTGCCATGCAAATCTCTGCTAAACTTCTATAACAAAATTAAAATAAAAATAAAAAGAGACAACAGTGACTAATTGCATTCAAAGATAATTCTAGTAGAAACGTGCATCCTGCAGTTCACTGCTTGCTACTACCCATCATTGAAACAGTAGGAGAATATTTATAGCTTAAGTGGATGGTCTTGCTTTTACTGTGTTCCTTGAGCTAGGTTGTCTGTTCGTAAGCTTTCATCGTCTTGCTAAACGACATCATCAGCACTAACTTCAGTATATAGTGAACTGTCAGTATCCCTAAGTGAGTGATTTAGTAGCTTGCCCTGGAAAACTGGTTTGTGATTGGTTGTTTCCTATGTTTGTTGTCTCACTGACTGTATAGATTTTTTTATTGGCTGTTCCTCCACCTGACCTCTGACCTTTCTGGAGTTTATCATTTTCCTCATTGATGGATAGACTGGGTCTATCTCTACTGATTGCTGACTGAATGACGTGAATGCCAAGCTTCTAGGAATTCTCTGATATTCTTTGTGTTTCCTCTGTCCAAAATTTCTACATTGTTGGAACTGAATCCATGTTCATAATTGTCTACGTGCATTGAAATGAGAGATGAAATTTCATGAAGTTTAGTAGCTAATTGGTATTCATGTAGACGAAGGCGAAGAGAGTGACCACTTTTTCTAATGTGGCGTCGACTACAGTTATTATAGTTGATTTTGTAAATGATATTCGGTTTATCTTCTTTGGTTGCTGTTCTTTTGTCTGAATAATAGGTTTGAGTGGGATTTGTTGGTTTATGAGCCACATCAATTCCAAGTGGTCTCAGTAATCTTGTCGTGATTTCTGATACATCTTCTTTATGTATGGTAGGATGATGCGTTTGTTGATTTCTATCGATGACTTTGTCGTTGATGCTGTACGGCATGGGTATCTTCTGATAAGTTTCGTGGGTAGCCATTCTTCGTTGGGATGAACATGAAGTAATTTTCTTCGTTTCTCCTTGAAGTTGTTGTACTGAAGTGTGTTCTCGCTCTTTTGAATGGAGTCTGCACGCAACTAATTTTGTATGTTGTTAGGTTGTTGCTACTGTATTTGAGGATTTGATCGTGTGTGTTGGCTTCCTCACACTTGAGTTTCCAGCTTTCTAACATTCGTCTTACTGAATAGGACATCCACGAATGGTAGTTTGTTGTTTGACTCCTTCTCTATTGTGAATTTGATATCTTTGAAAAAGTTGTTGTTTAGACTCTAAGTGTTTTATATATCATCTTGTTTTAATGATGATAAAAGTATTGTCTACATAGCGAATCCAAATTTTTGGTTTGATCACAAGTAGAATAATGGATTCCGGTCTCTGCATCACTGCTCCTCCAACTAGTCCTTATGTCGGTGATCCCACTGGAGTTCCTTTCATTTGTTTGTATATCTTGCCATTAAATTGGAAGTATGTTGTCGGGCGTAGGTCAATGAGTTTCATCAGGCTTGAATATTTAAGGTTTGTGCATTCTGAAATGATTGTGTCTTCAGTGAGTTGGAGGGACAGTTTCCTTGGATAATTATGATTCGACTGATGTGTACAACTCTATGACATCGAAGGATGCCACTTATTCGTCGTTTTCTATATTAATCTTTGGTCTTTTCTAGGAATTCTTTTGGCGATTTGATCGAATGTCCATATAATGAACCAGGTGTTTCAGCTTTCTCGAAATTTCCCTTGATATGTTTTAAGTTGGAGTTCCCGGAAGTGAGACTATTGATCGTGGAGGAATGTCTGGTTTGTGTAGTCTTGGTCTGCTGTAGAACTGAGGAAAGAGAGGTCCATTCGACTTCATATTCCACTTGTATTGCTTTGTTATTTCTTCTGCTTTGAAGAGTTTGTCCAAGGTTTTATTGATCTGGTTGGTTACAAGTCTTTGATATACATTTTCGTCTTTGATTAGATCCTCTGTCTTCTTTATCATCGTTTAGAAAAACAATGAAAGCTCCATGATTAAACAACTCAGCCCATAGAACACAATTTAGCTAAGACTATCCATCATTATTATGAAACTAAATACCTTTTGAAGGTTTTTGGAGATTTACTGATTTCAAAATGTTATTTATCACCGACTGACACCATTTGGAGAACCACTGGAAACCTGGGAGCACTGGACAGCCGTTTTGTCTTAATATGGGATTCATCAGCAAATCAGTCAAGAACCCATCACCGATCGAGCATAGGACCTTCAGGTTTTGCACCGAGCCTCTGGGTCACAGTCAAGTAAAATGGACAGTTTAAGTATCTTTTCTCGGCAATGTTTACTGATTACTATGGCGTAAACGAGTTTTAAAGCCGTGTGTACTCGTCAACCATACCTTTGAATTCTTTAAAGTGACCATTTCAGTGTTATGCAGAAGGATTTTAAATGCCTCCTTTATGCTATTCACGACACATCTCAATATCTCCACATAGCAGGATCATGTGTACCTAAGACTAAATTTTGTGACCATTCTACCATATAACAGATTCCTTATTTAGTTAGTAATTCGACCCTGTATAGCAACGAGAGATTACAAGTATAAGACAACACCTGATACCAGGGGGTGATTGGTGTACCCCAGTGGCCTAGTGGATAATGCTTCAGTGTTTAGAACCTTGGGTAGTGAGTTCCAGTCCCATCTCTTACTGGGGTGCAGGTATCTCCAGCCAACGAGTTCCAGGTAGGACGAAACGCGCTAGCTGGGTCCTATTGCTAGTCATCAAGATGAAGACGTCATCACAAATTAGCTGTTACGTTTACTATATTTACCAAACTATATAATTTTTTCATAAAAAGTGGGTTATTTTTGTACGGTTTAAGTAAGTTGTAAATTTGAAGAGAAGTCTAACAGAGTACTAGCGATTGCGTGTTGGAAAGTTACCACTGATTACCATTACTTTTTGTATTTCTCGATGTTGTGCTACTTACTACGGATATTCACTTTTATAAGTAGTGTTGTATACTAACTGACTGAATGCTGGCTTTAGTAAGCTAGGCTTAATTCGTTAAGGAAGAATGAATTACAAATAGGCACTTTTAGAGCGTGCATCATTGGATAACTGACAATGAAAACAATGTATTCCACGGTAGTATGATCGAAAACACTGATAACAATGAATTCCTTGAGATGGCCTATACGGATTTCTACACCATCTGTTGGATTATGCAGAACACACAGAACATATCATTGAAGACTGAAAATTAACATTTTAAGGTGTACAGATGAGCCTTAATTTTTCACGAATTTACAGCAGAAATGAGATATGTGGACTAAAGTTTAGAGATATTCATTACTCAGTTGGTTATAAAGAAGAATGTGAATTCAATATCTTCGAAAATTTGATCTTTTTTCATATGATTTGGTTGAATAATACGAAGGCTTACTCAAACAAATATGGGTTCAATGACTGGTGGAATGACTTTAAAGGCCATCCCAGCAACAAGTTAAATAATTAATTAGGTTTCTGCATTTCGACTGGAAGTACAGATTTTCATAAAATACAGAAATCTGATTGGTTAGTTTGGCTGTTGTCAGGGTGGCCTTTAAAGTCATTCTAACTAGTGAATGACCATTTTAAATCAACTCAGGTAGACACAAGGTGTAATGAAGAAGGAAATGTGGTCTGAGTAAAGAGGGAGGAGAGATGATTACACGCAGAAATTATATTCTAGTGAGAGCTACTTACAAGGATGCACATAAGTAGTATGTATAACTGTGCCGAAATTGAATATGATCCGTTAATAATAATAATAATAATAGCTATTTGTTGATATGCTTGTAATTCTCCGTTGTTTAGCTGGATCGAAATGCAGGGCCTCTATGGCTACATGAGCTCCTATGTGGATACTTTGATACTGCCTGAATATTCACTATGACGAGTTACTTGATTGCGTCTAGCATAGCATAAGAATCCAAGAATCACGTTTCGTCCTGTCTGAGACTCGTCAGCTGGATGCGTCTGCATTCCAGTAGAAGTCAAGCAATCCAATCCAGTGAAACAGCGGAGAATTACAAGCATATCAATAAATAGTAAGAACTAATACCCGTTACACAATAGATAGCTATCGTACTTCAGTGGTCTGGTGGATAACGCTTTGGCGTTTGAAGCGATGGGTATGATGTTCGAGTCTCTGTGAGAATAACATCACTCACTGGGATGCAGGCACACCCAACTAACTAGTCCCAAGTAGGATGAAAAAAGCGTTCTGGATTCTTCTGTTAGCTACAACCACAATATTTATTCCTGAGTATAAGGGCAAACACCATTTTTACAGGTGTGAATAAATTTCTATGTTAACTACATGTTTCTTCAGGACAGGTAACTCCAGTCGCTACCTATTCAATCACTAGAAGACTTAAACGTTGCATGTTAGTAAAATGAAGCAATGCACCACAGTAAGGTATGCACAAACTGACACGATGGAAGAGTGGAAGTATCATCTTAGCATTAACAGGAAAACTGGGGTATGTATTTAAGCAATACACATATAAAGCTTGAGGCTAATACTTCCATTGTTACACCTTGTATACTTTGCTGAAGAATACTGATGAGAAGTTCATAAATGCATTTTGTTTCTTATTTACAATTCTTTAGTGATTTAAGAACTATGGATTTTATGTATTCTCGAAACAGATCACATCAAAGATTCATAATCTTGATGAATTTTATGACCGTGAGTCAAATGTCTTCATTTTTTTCAACTGTAGCATCAAGTGGGTGTTCAGAACATCTTTTTGCCATTTTTGCGTGTCATGACAGCTTTGTGGTTGGTAAGAATAACACTTTCCTGGTCGCTTATATCATCAAAAATTTCGGGTTTTCATAATTATGAAGTTATAGTCTGAAGAACCTTACTGATTTCTGTTCATACTAGTTAGCTGTTGTTAATGTAATCACAGGAGATTACAAATAATAACAAACAATAACTGATACTTGGTGCACAAGAGGCAGCTCTCATGTCCCAGATTACTAATGGGTAACGCTTTAGCATCTAAAGTGATTAGTACTGAATATCGAGACTCAATGAGAACACTACAACTCGCTAGATTGAAGGCATATGCAGGTGATGAATTTCAAAAGGATGAAATGGATGTTTCGGGTTCTATATCAGCTAGCAAGTAAACCGCAAGAGTGAAGATTCAAACAGTATCGAGGCATTCTTAGGACATTCCATATGCCAACAAAGATCCAGTAATTCAACCCAGTTTAACAACGAGAAATCACAAGTATAAATAAATAACAATAATGTCAGGTTTAACAACTCTGCTGTTATCAGTTGTATTTCCTGAATAAAGTATAACAGATGCTTGATTGAACTTCTGTTCAGTAGCATGATTTAGTGAGCATGTAAAAAAGGAAAACCAGCAAGCTACCTTACATGGATCCTTGTAATTAATGTAGATGCAACCCCAGCCATTCATCTGGACTGGAGAACCCTATAGAACCCTAGAAATAGGTCTAGCCTTAATTTTTACTAGACGAGATAGGTGAAAAAGTAAAAGAACAGGATGTAACAATCGATGATAAGGTCATAGTTATAATCAATGCCAAGGCAGTATTCATCACGAAGGAGATTAGTTGGAGGACCATTGAAAACCTAAGGGCACTGGATAACTGTTTCGTTACAAAATGCAACTCCTTAGCAGTACCTACCTGTGACCTTGTCAGGGATCCAAATCAGGACTTTCAGGTTTCATGTCAAACGCGTTACGTATTTAAATATTGAGTTAGAATTCAACGGTTCAGGGTTTCCTGACTCCGTCAACTTAAGATACAGCTCGAATAACTACGAGGTCTTCACTTGGTATCCTGCTATGACTGGCAGTATGACATAACGGCCAACGAGCGATACCAGTCTAGCAGACTACGAACGATTCAAACCTAACGCGCAAACGAATCGACTCTAACACAAATCAGGACGTCAACCACCACCACTGAAACAATACCACTGACATGAGAAGACACGAAGAGAAGACAGACCGTTGGCAGATGGCTTTTACTGTATCATCAACAGTCAATGCAGTTGACAGCGACGCTGAATATACACATCTCTGAATGACCTTGACAACACAATCACATATAGGTAAAGTAGTTAACTACCAATGAGAGTTCTGCCTTGAGAGCAGAGAGGAGAAAAACTAGTAGCAGTGTGAAAACAGGTCATGGGCAAGACCACAGGTAAAAACTATGAAAAATTAGGGGTATATAACATATTCGCTTCACCAGCGACTAAATTACTGTCTAGTCCTCACTAATGACACGCTTCCAGATGGATACCTTGAAGTTATAATGACAAACTGTGGTCTGTGAGGTCAACCAGTTAGAAGTGAAGCGGATGCTAACTGAAGAACTTCGGTGGTAGTCATGCCGTATCGCGAAATGATAGAAGTAGGAAACAGCGAATCACTGAGCTCTGTCCATTGAAGTGGCTGAATGGTTACCGCGTTCGCCTGGAGACCTGGAGGTCCTCGGTCCAATCTCCTGCGAGGTTATTGATGCTCCCACATATTCACTGTTTCTCCAACTAGTGTCAGTTCCTGATGGATACTACCTTGAAATAAACTATATCTTCATGAAACTCAAACCAGAATATTATAAAAATGTGTTATCAGTGGCTACATATTCTAACCGTCAAACTCCCAAACAGTAGTTCGATGCTCCCATGTTGTAAGTAGTTCTGAAAATATTGTCATTCAATTATGAAAACTATTTTCCAGTCAACAAAGTCCTTATCTAGTGATCACTAGTCACTGAATTCTAGATGGATTTTTGCAAGTTCTACCTGAGAAATTGGGTTCTGTGGGATCAAGCAAGTTGAGAGTGAGGTGGATGCATACCGATGATGTTAGATAATCACCGCGTGGTATGACTGAATGACTAAAAGTAGGGCACTCTCGATTATTGGATTTCTACATACTGGGACGAAACATCTGCTTAACACTCCCAGGTTCTCACTAGCTGACGTCAGTCCTCGAAATATTCACCGCTTATTTTAGTTTGATAATGTGTTATTTTATCCCTAGTCATAAGGACTACTGATGATCTGATTTCACCACCATTTCAGTGCAGCTGAAAGGCATAAAATAGCCAGGGATAATGTAATACTGTAGCAGAATTTAGATTAATCTAGAAAGCCAGTCTAACAGATTATCATTTGCTTCAATATCATGAACTACCTAACACGTTACAGCTGGATCTCAGCGCAGATAAACAGTTAGGTGATTATCACAGAATCATAGACTCTTGAGTTTTCTGGTGATAGAATCTGATTGTTTACAGAAAGTTGGTATCCGGAGAAGAAAGCAGAGAAGAATATCTTGAATCATTCGGTCGGACAACTTTGACTGCAGTACTGATTGGAGCAAGTAGGGATCTCACAGGGGACATTAGTCCCACTGAGGTTGCATATATACCTTACTGATGAGTGCTGACAGGCACGAAACCTTCCGATTGTCTCCAGTCACCTAATATCAATCACGGTTCATCATGATCCTTTGTCAATTAGCTTAATCAACATATTGCAAAGTGGCCGATGGTTTTCGTTCAGCGCCTACGAGTAGACAACATGGAGTTAGTTACTGTCCAGTGAACAATCAATACATACAACTACTTGTAGTAGATATTCAAAAACACTAATTACATTTATTAATTGCTGATATTTGTAAATCACCGTTGTTATACTAAATCGAAGTGGTTGACCTCTGTTGGGATATGGGCTCGTATGAGAATACCTCAATACTACCTGAATATTCATTGCCACGATCTACTTGGTGGTGGCTAGTAGTAGACTTCGTGACATGCGTTTCGTTTTGAGGCCTGTTGGATGAGCAAATATGAACGCAAAATTACAAGTATCAACAAATAATGGTAATGATAACTAATATACAAGAGATAACTGTTACTCCCCAGTGGCCTAAGGGGTAAGGCCTTGGCGCATGAAGCGACAAGTACAAGGTTCGGGTCTCAGTGGGACAACATCACCCCTTGGGGAATAGGTACATCCGGCTGATGACTCCCAGACGGGACGAAACACACTGGCTGGTTCCGAGTGCTAACTACCATCAAGGGAAACTTTTGTATGACCAGGAATATGGAAGAAAATTTTGGTAACAACATTTAGGGGCATAATTTGAAGATCTACACCAAAATTGATAATTAACTATCTACTGGATTCTACTAGTTCTTCTGTCAAATCCATTCTTTTAGACAGGACCGAAACATACAGTATCATCCAGTTGGTTTTTTGATGACCGCTTTCAGGAGAATTCCGAAATGCCTCATCATTTTCCTTCTGTATTATTGGTGTCCCATCACTCTATACGCAAAACTTAGAGGTGATGATACATATCAGGTTTTTAAGAATAATATTGATTGGTAATACAACCCAACCATGCATAGTTTCCTGCAACAGACTATGAGGTACGCATAATGCTGGGATGGGGAGAGGGTTACAGTACTTTCTTGTTGTTCAAGTCAAAGGATTTCGTACGCAATTTTAACCCAAGACTCATTGCTTGAAATTAGAGTTGCTTAACCAGTCTGGTATATTTTCGAAATTTCTATGCTTTCATACCACTTTTACGCTAATTCCAGCTAATTCAACTGTGTCTTTTATTGTTCCTCAGAGACATCTTTTCCTAGGCATCATACACTATAAATGTGCAGTCTGTTGGTTGTGAAGCTGAAATGTGCCAAATAATTCACCAAGAAACAATATTGATCATTTTCATCTATGTTACTTCTCAACTTACCGTGGAGTGCATAAGATTTCATTTCCCTCCGGACTCCATTTGATTTCGCCAGTGCGTAAATCCCGTTCTAACAGATATCGACAGTGGCCTACTGGCACCCAAACACGATCTGGACCTTTACGTAAACGTTTGGATGTTGCATAAATTGGCAATCTTCTAGTATTCAATAAAAGCATAGAATATGATTATGCGAGGGATCTTGATATGCAATCTGTCCAAGTGAATGATTCAAGATGTCGTGTAAATGTCTCTAAACTTTCTGTTAGACTCAGTTGTTGTTGTTGGTGGTGATGATGATGATGGTAATGGGGCTGTACCATCATCTTGATTATTCAATAAACAATTGGTTGAATCACCGTCAAGCGATCTAGCTGTACGGCGAAGATGATTAATATGATCACGATTGGGATATCTAGGTGTTGAGGTACCACTCTCTTCACTATCCTTCCATGTATAATCCACAAGTGTTAAACAACTATGCATTGCTCGAAAAGACTATGTTGCCTAGAGATCTTTATGAATTTCAGAACATTAGCTGGAAACGGAAGTGTTTAGATATTTATCACTTTTAATCCTATCGATTTTTTGGAATATTACGTGTTACAACTTTTCCCTATTATCTGCCACTTGTGCACCAGTGTTATTAACGAAAAGTTATTCATTCATGATTGACAAATAGACATGTGATTCTAACCAATCAAATAAAAGTCATGTGACATAACTGCAAGGAAGCTATCGATCTCATGTTGCACAGTTAAAAGATGGGCAAGCCAATGCAATGAGATATATTCGTCCTATGTAAAACAAAACCTTTTAAGGTGAAGTTTGCTTATTTTGAAAGAACTCTTGAGTTGTTCTGTGAAACAGTGTGTATTTGTAATACATAGTGTCAACTGAAATTGAAGTTCCATGTGTAAGACAAATTCTTCAAGAAGTAATTCAATTCATCTGATTGGCTTAAACCATCTTCATGCTGCTTGATTGGGAGTATAAAATGGCAATTAATAAGTAATAATCAAAATCCTGAAGGCTAAAAGAAATTAATCCATCCATTTTACTCACTAAATTTATAACGGCTGGATTTCATTGTTTTCTGAAGTCTTCTTCATTTTCTATTGCCTAGGAATTACTGGATCTGATAAAACTCCATGCCTGAAATGTTAAGAAAACTGCGAAGCTGCTTCGAGGCTGCAGATACGCCTTGCCGATGGATGCCAAAACATCCTGGACTTCGCGCCTCTAAAGGCTTAAAATCAACCAGAAGTATACCACGATGACGGTTCTGTTGAAGTGGTGACTACACTGTAAAATGGTCAATAGAACTCGATCAGCACTCAGGACAAGACAACATGAAATCCGCAACTCTTCAGTGATCATATTAACGAAGTTAGTGGCTGCTCGAATAGTTTAGTAGTAACATCTCCGACCGCAGCATTGAACGACATGCATTTATATCGTTGAGGAGATTCATTCAGCCAATAAGCAATGTATCTAGGTCCATGACTTCTTGTTGATTACCAGCAAGGACTTAACATTTTATCTTCTCATCTCATCGATATTCAGTACACAAATCGGAAACTAAGCCACTTCTAGCATGACATTTAGAAGTTATGTAATGACAAAAACCTCCAAGTTATTTAAAGGCATTCAAGCTATTGTAGTTTCAAACTGCTATAGCTGCTAACGATGAGTGGATATCAGCTGTCAGCTAACAACGTCCTGCAACTTCCTAATTGATTCCCAACCCAACTAATCACTGAAGAAGACATAGTGAAGTGTGTAGGAACCTGAGTTTAGACCGAAGACCCGAAGTCAGTACCAATGGTGAGTACAATATATATATAGTCATGCGTTTAAAATAATAATGTTGAGTGGTTGATCGATCGTCTGTCAGTCTAACTATAGACATAATTAACACAAGATACAATTTGATTGGTTCATTTTAGGACTAGTTTCTTTGGCCCACTTATCACAAGCATCACGTGACACGTCATTTGAATGACTTATTGAATAGATATCGATCAGGCGTATTCTCCTGTATATAATTGTCTGTCATTTTCAGTGTATTTTAAGAGGTTGTATGTTGGTCCGTTGGTGAAGTCCAGAATTGGTCTCAAAGGAAAGGGGAAGGTTTGTGAATCTTAGATAGAACGTAGAATCTAGAAGGTATGTATGACTTAGGTTTAAGCTTGAACCAAAATGAGCTGCCAATTTAGGGTTTAAGTTCTTCAAACATCAAATCGTAACTTGATTTCGATATCTATAAACAGTTTTAGCAATCTAAAGTTTCACAGAACATATGTATACTCAAACCTCGTCTAGTGTAGTAGTTCACTAGTTTACTAGCCGGAAGGTTGGGCATAGGGCTAACAACCCTAACCGTTAAACCAATACAATCGCTAAACGAACTTCAAAACACAAAGAAATCATAAAAAATAAAAACAAAATTATTCCCGCTGGAATCGAACGCGGAGATGAAATGACACCGGTTCGTGAAAGCCTTCGGGAAGCCAGTCGACCGATGTGTCTTCTATTCTCTCGATGGAAGCGAAAGTAAGGATGGGGATATGGAATGTCCATACAATGTTTGAGGCTTATAAGGCTGTCTAGATTGAAAAGGAGATGATGAATGTAAGGCATGGAAGTGCCTGGAATCTGTGAAAGCAGATGAAATGGAAGTAGACTCTCCAAACTGTTAAGTGGAGAGTCAATAATCTACTATGATATTGCCACCCAGATAACAACCACAAGCCCACTGAGTTCTGGAGTGGCTATCATGATGTCGCCAACAGCATCGAAGACTCTCTTCCATGCAATGGGAACCAATCTCCTCCTTCAGGATCAGCATCATGACAGAAAGATTCAACTCAAAAGGAAGGAAAGTTTCAATCATACAGATGGAATTCCTCCAGAAGCAATGAAAACACTCAAAAACAACAGCGGACATACTCATACCACTATTGCAGAAGGTCTGGAAGGAAGGACAGAAAGATATCTGCAGATTGAAGGAGGGCCTACTTGTCAAGCTCTCAAAGAAAGGAGATCTAAGTTATTGCAAGAACTGGCGCAGAATCATACTCTACCCCTGTCAACCCCAAGCTAAATATTAGGCTGCATCATCCTGAAGAGACTAGACAATGCTCTGGATTCAAAACTACGACATGACCAGGCTGGATTCAGAAAGTACAAATCATGTGCGGACCAAATTGCAACGCTACGCCTATCAGAGCCTAGAATGGCAGTCAACTCAACTCAACTTCAACTTCATCGACTTTCGAAAGGCTTTCGATCGAGGCGTCGACGAAGAAATAACTTGGAAACTGCTTCAACGCTATGGAATACCACAAACCTTTATTAACCTCATTCGACAGCTATATGCTATGTTATATGATGCTACATGCCAAGTGATCTACAATGGAAAGCATAGTTATGCCTTTTTAGTGAACACAGGAGTAAAACAAGGCTGTCTAATATCAACCATGATCTTTCTGATTGTGGTTGACTGGACTCGACTGGATCATGTAACAAACAGTGAGGAGCGAGAAGAGGGGTATACGCTGGCTGGACTGATGCAAAGAGCCTAGAAGATTTGGATTTCTCCGCCGATGATGATTTGTGTCTAATGTCCTGTCGCACAAACTCGAAGATCTACAGGCGAAAACCAACAAGTTGACAGAAGAGACGAGGCAACGAAGAAAGACGGAACTTCCTTTAGGTGAACGTATAGAAGACAGAGGTGATGAAGATATCCAACCAATAACAACAACAACAAGCACCAATCACCATCAGTGGGAGGAATCTAAAGGAAGTTGTCTGTTTCACCCACACCTACCTAGACAGCATCGTTTCAAATACAGGCGACGGTGGCGATGGCACAGATGAGGATGTCAAAGCCAGGATCGGAAAGGCAACAAGACAGGTCTTCATTACCTGAAACCAGTGTGGAGATCTACTGCACTGCACTGCACTCAGCATAAAGTGTGAACAAGATGCGGATTTTCAACAGTAATGTCAGTCAAGTCAGTGCTTTTATGTGATGGCTGAGAGACTTGACGCATCACGGAAAGCATTTCCAACAAACTGCAGACATAAATATGAACAGCTGCGTACGCTTGATACTGAAGATCAAATCAGATGGCGAGAAAAAATAAGCAACAAGGAACTCTGGCTGGCTGGCAACGAACCAACTGGCCAAGAACACATCAGCTAACAACTATGCATAAGAAAGTGGAGATGGATTGGATTGGACATATACTGAGAAGATAGTTTTGGGAAATCACATTCCAAGCCAGGTTAGGCGCTTGAGTGGAATCCAGATGGGAAACGACGAATTTGACGCCCGACAGTGATATGCAGGAGATCGTGTGAGGAAGAAATGAAAGCTTCTGGGAGTCGTGGAGCCAGGTTCAAAAGACTGCAGAGAACAGAGGGAAATGGCTACGCGCTACCGAAGCCGTATATTCCACTAGGAACTCAAGGGACAAATAATAGTGATAATAATAATCATAATAAAAAGCTTCTACTCACCACCAATGTGATTGGTCGCCTCAAGGTCACCTTAAGTTAGCTGAAGGCCAGCGAAATTCCATACCTTTTGTATACCGAGCCATTAGATGCAATTTTTTTGAAGTGACCTATATCATGTGTCAGATTATCAAACCCGTGTTATTATTTTAAAGGAGTAGAATAAATGGGGATAAATTCAGTTAGGAAATAAGTAACGTGATGACTAGTTATTTCTGCTGCTATTGAATAGGATAATGAATAATAAGGATGTAATTATTAAACATTTTTTTCTTTGTCATTGTACTGTTGAATGACCTAAAAGGTTATTGTTTTAATACACAAAATGATTTTGTTAAGAAAGGAATAATAATTCTCTGTTTGTCAGTAAGAAGCGTTAATCTTATTATGTAGTTTGAGGTTCATGAAGATTTTACTTTATTTTTTAAGATAATATTCATCATGAAGTGACATGGGTTGGAAATTGTGCACGACTGAACTCCAAACCAGCGATTGAATGGCTTACACGTTAGCCATGAAACCTGAAGGTTTTGGGCTCGATCCCCGACGGTTTGGAGTCGTAGGAGTCCTATACTAGGACGAAATAGCTGTCCAGTTCTGCCAGAATGCAAATGGTTCTTCAAATGATGCAAGTTCATGGTGCCTTAATCTTGTTAGAATATATTACAGTTTATTATGAACTGTAGTATAACAAGATGGTAGCCATTGTGGTGCTTTGTTCCGTAGTTTTCTTATAACCCCAATGACCAAGATGTGTAATGTTACCATCAAATAATGAAATGTCTGCCAACAGTAAACAGATGAGGACAATTATCTTAACCTATAAAACAAATAACTTCACTAGATATCATAAATGTCTGATCGATTGTGAACCGATAACTTCACCCATTGACTAATGGTGTGGCTCACAGACAGACCAAATCTTTCTAGAACATCTGATGTAAGGTGCAGGTCCATTA